TACCCGACTTTTAGTTGTTTGTTTGTTTTCCCTTCGAATCCCGTTTTCGTTGGTGGTGTTTTGGGGGGTTGTTTCAGAGAGCCTTTGACTTTGCCCTAGCTGAGACTTGTGGACTCGCCCTAGCGGGACCTGAGAACCCTTCGTGGTGTATTCAATGCAGCGCCATCCCCGGATGGAGGGGCTGCGGAGTGGCTGCGTAGAGTGTTGGCAGTCTGAGTCGGGGTCGGGAGCACACAAGACTAACCGACTTGTGCTGTGTGCTCCCGACCCTTGCGCTGTGTTTCGGCTTCGGCCCCCGGCTCTCGCGGCCCACAGTGTAATCTAAGTCATACATACATACATACATACATACATACATAATACATACATAATACATACATAATACATACATAATACATACATAATACATACATAATACATACATAATACATACATACATAATACATACATACATACATACCCGCTTGTGGTCGGGGGTGCGGTGGGAGAACGAGAACAAAGAAACGCTGTGGCGGCTCGCCGTGGACGGCATCCCCCTGCCCGGCAACACGCACCTGGCCCGCATGGTGCCTGAGCGCTGTGGGTGTGGAGGGTTCGGCAACGCCAGCAACCAGCACTGCTCCCCACGCATGCACCACTTCTGGGAGTGCCCCGTCGCACAAGCTGTCCGGGAGCAAATTGACCGACACATACAGCCCTCCCAGGAGGCAGCGACAGGCGGCATCACCCGGAAGCAGCTGTGGTTGGTCCAAGCCCCGACCGGCTGCGAGCAGGCCCCCTGGGATGTGATCGCCCTGGCGGCCCTGTCTGCTATGGAGGTAGGCAGGTGCTGCCTGCGAGCAGCCGGAAGACGACTGGAAAGGGCGGCTAACCCCGCGACAGAACAGCCAGAGCAAGTGCAACAGATCCAGGCGCAAGGGCCCCAACAGCGGCGGATAACGGACTTCTTTCACCTGGCCAACGGAGTGAGACCGCACGAGGGGCCGCCGCTGAACGCGCCGGTACTCGAGGATCAAACGCAGGGGCCCATCGCGGGACCGGGGACGGCAACAGCAGCAGCAACAGCAGCAGCAACAGCAACAGCAGCAGCAACCCCCCTGGAATACGCCCGCGCTCGGGCAGTAGTGGACTTCTGGGCGCGCTTGCGCTCTTTCACCGCGCTCAATGTCCCAAGGCGGGGCTGGGACGGAGTGGGACCCCACCACCCGATCCTGTCAATCGTCGGGGGAGCACTGCGCTGCGCGGAGGCGGTGGACATCACGACCTAATGGTCAAGCGGACGCGGCGGGAGCTGGAGTTTAGGGGATAAGGGGATAGGGTGTCGAGGCGCGGAGGGGGGATTTGAGGTGGTGGGGGTGGTAGGGAGGTCGAGAGGGAGGTTAAGGGAAGGGTTGCGAGGGGGGGATCAGGGATGGGGCTTGGGGGGGTGCCGCGCAAGGGGACATGGGGGAGGGAGGGTGTATTTGCCTGGGGGAGCCGTACCGGCGGAGGGGGGGGAGACCGGGGAAAGGGCGGGGAGAGCCGGGGGGGAGGGGAAGAGGCAGAGAGAGCACCAAGAGGATGTAGGGTTGAGGGGTGGTGAGTGGAAACAGGTGGCCGTAGCGAGGGCGCGGATGAGGGGGAGGTGGGCACCCAGAAGGAGGGGCCGTACTCGAAGGTGCGCGCGTGGTGCAGGACTAGGTTCTTCAGGGTACGAGACCGGGTTTTTCATGTTGCGGCGTCTAGGTGAGATAGGATCTTGGGAACCAACCGTCTTGGTAGAGCGGTATTGGGGGGGCGCCGAGCTGGCTACCCTCCCCCCCTGTGGTTTCCGGAGGCTTGATCGCCCTGCGTTGCCGCAGGGTCTTCCCGTTTGAGTACTTTTCAAGTTAGACCCAGTGCTGTGGAAGGGCGCGGACTTGTGCGGTGTTATCCCCCCGACGGGGGCTATCTCCCCTGGACTAGCCCAGGGAGGGAGAGGCGGAGGAGGGTAGTAGTCTCAGGAGGCTGTTTGGCGTCTTGTGGTGTGAGCTCTTTGCGTGAGGTTTTTTGCGTGAGGTTTTTTGAGCTTGGTGACCTCCCCAGCCCGGGATGACTCGTCGGGCTCCCGGTCGCCCAGGTCCTGGTTGCGAGCTCTCTGAGATGCTCGGTTCGTTCGGTCGGCAGGAAGAGCCCCCCAGTTGCGACTTCGTTTATGTTAGGAGACCAACGGGCATAGATCCCGTCTAGTTGGAGCGCCAAACAAGCGCTGTTGCGTGCCGGCCGTCGTTTCCCGTGCGGCCTGACCCGGGGGCGGAGTGCATGAGACTAACCAGCCGTATGCACCCGCCCCTCGCGCTGTGCTTCGGCCCTGGGCCCCCGGCTTTTCAGCCCACAGTGTAATCAACGTCATACATACATACATACATACATACATACATACATACATACATACATACATACATACATACATACATACATGCATACATACATACATACATACATACATACACACACGTACCCACTCTCGCCTCGGCCTCGACCTCTGCTCGTAACCTAAGACATGGGCAGCAGGCGGATCGTCTCCTTCCTCCTCCTCCTGGTATACCGCTCTTCACGTGCGTCACCTATCATTAACTAGCCCCCTACTACTACCACTGCGACACAACATCTCTTCGGATGCGGCCACTCAAAAAAACAGCGCAGGTGCAAACATACTTAGGGTTTTGTACATACACACCTAGATAGTACATACAAGCACACCCACACAGCCGTAAGCATGCACGCGCGCACGCGTAAATGTATGTATGTTTATTGTATACGTGTGTTTCAATGAACTGAGCCGCGAATATGAATACGAACGATGAGGATGGATGGTGAGGAGTTTGTATGTGTGTCTGTGTCTGTGTGTGCGTGCATGCGCATGTTTGTGTGTGTGTGTTGTGTATGTACGACGGCGCACAACACCCGGGGAGTTTCTCCCCTCCTTTCCCCCTCTCCCCCCAGGTAGCGGTACCCCCGTGCGCGAGGTCAGGTGTCAACGTCTCGAGCCCTCGTTCCACCTCTACATCGCCCCGCCGAGCCGACCATCCCCGGCATCACTGCATTTTAGCTTTGCTGCGGTGCAGCGAGTCCAGTGCTGCAGCAGCGCCACTGTCGCCGGCGCCGCCGCCTTGTCGTCGACCTTTTCCATTGACGCATCCCGTCGCATCCGGTGCCAGGGCCGCCACGAGCACCCCCGGCGGCGGGCCCCACAGCGGCCAGATCCACATCCAGGGGCCAGCGGCGCTACTGCTGCCGTACATGACCCGCCGGAGGCGGCGCACCGTGGCCGCACAGCCCACGGCACCGGGCTGCAGCAGGTCGCGTTGTCGAATGAGCGCGAATGAGAAAAACCGCACACACGCATGTGAGCGTTTGCGCGTGAGGACGGAGGCAAGGGAGGAGGAGGAGGAGGAGAGCGCGGCGCGAGAAAGGAAAGAAGAGGAAAGAGGAAGGGAGGAGCGGGAAGGGAAGGGAAGGAGCCAGGTTTGTCTGGGGACGCGCCGCACGGAAAAGCCGAGTCATGAGAACCAAATTCTGGTCCTTCAGAGCAACTCTCACTCAAGGAAATGCATTTTGCACAGGGCCCCGTCCAGGGGCCCCTCATGGGCTCGCCCGCTCTTTACACACATACATACACACATACATACACACATACATACACACGCATATACACACAAAAAATAATGCTGCCATCACCCCGCTAATTTTTTGCATAACTAAAGCGCCCTCACCCCATCTGCGCCCAACGCCACCGCCATCGCGTCCGATGCGGGGTGCACGTGATGCCGTACGGCCCGCTGCGCCGCCGCCGGGTCCACGCCGTCAACCACGCGTACGGCATGTCGTATGGATTGTACGAGCAACATGCTGACGGAAACGAGGATCCCTAGCGACACAAGCAGGACGTAAGCCGCGACCTGCGAATGAGGAAGCGAGTGAGTGCGTGAACGGGGGCGAGAATGGCCCAGGGTGGTTTAGGTTTGGGGTTCTGGGGTATTGGGGGTTGGTTGGATCATGCCTCTCTAGGTATTCGTGTTGGAGAACAGACCATGCTCTTTAACTCTCTACTTGCGTGCGCCGGAAGTCCGCTGCACCCCCTCGGGTAAAACGACTAGGCACGCATGTCACCCATGGCACACCTACGCACATACACACATACACACACATACATACACACACATGTAGTCGCAGCACTTCTTACCCGAGGCTAAGTACAACAAAGCACATACAGACGTACACAACGCGGCAGGACATCACGGCAGGAAAAAATTCAAAATTCCGCGAATGGCATTGCCTGCCTGAACCCATACGGCACGGCACAACCCATCCCGACACCATCCAACACCCGTCGTCAACCCGGGGAACGGAACTCGCCGTCAGATGCAGCGGAGCCCGCACAATGAGAGTCATAAAGTACGTCATCGCCGCATCCGTCCACGCCGTAATCGGCGCCAGCCGCCGCACCAGCCAGCCCCCCCTGGCGGCCGCCGCCGCGGCGGCGGCACGCGCACGGCTCGCTGTCAGTACAGCTATCGTGAACGCCTCCGCCGCCTGTGCTCGATCCCGTAGCAGCAGCCAGGCACTCATGACGGATGCGTAGGTCGTGGAGGTCGCCGCCATCCCAAGGAAGGAGATGAAGTTTCGGAGGTTCGCCCTGCTTTCCGTCGCCGCCGTCGTATACACACCGTACACGGAAGCATTTGCCGTATCAGTGATTAGATCGCCGCCAGGCAATGCAATGCCAGGCATACATATGCAGATGTGAAGTTTTCCATGATTTGCTACAAAAGGGCGCCCAACCTCTTATCGTCTAGAAAAAAGTGCCGCGAGTAAGACTCAAAAGAGTCCGGATTTCCCAGCAGTCCGGATTTTCACCCCCGAACACCTGCCCCCAGCCCACCACTCCGCCCACAAATGATCCTTTCCTTCTCGCAACTGAACACCTCCCCAGAACCCTCATCACCCCCAGCCCCACCACGCCCACACACCCGAACACCTGCCAACGCAATTTGCGATGAAGGGGCAGTGGTGGTCCTGGTCCACCACACAGCGGCCGCACATGTAGCAGTGATGTGACCCGTGGGTCTGTGGACCGCGACACGGCCAACAGTACCTGTAACAGGCGCAGCGGTGCAGGGTAGCACTGCGCTCGTATGTATGTATGTATGTATGTATGTATGTATGTATGTATGTATGTATGTATGTATGTATGTATGTATGTATGTATGTATGTATGTATGTATGTATGTATGTATGTATGTATGTATGTATGTATGTATGTATGTATGTATGTATGTATGTATGTATGTAGTTACAGGGTGGTATAGCTTCACCAGCGGCCCCCTTTCCCAAGGCAGTTCCCTGCTCTCCCCTGCGAGAGGGGCACCCTAATCCATTCACCCCATCCGACTTCAGAATGTATTCGTTGGGTTCAGCAACTCACCACCAGCATCCAACCAAATCTAGCGGATCAACGGCGTCACAACTCAGTTCCTGGTCAGCTCGCAAGTTGATATAATCACGTCCTACACCGTCCACAAGATGGGGGGCCACCTCCCAATTCAACACCCCTCACACACCGAGGGGTCGACAGGCGGATTTGAACCCGGAACCTCCGGGAGCAGAAGTCAGGCCTATGTATGTATATCATACCCACGAGAGAAAAGACCGGGGGTCCCCAACCCGGATCGAGTGCGCATACACACACGCAACGGGATGTCCGTTTCCGCTTCCGCCGTACCTTAGGTGAGAGTACGAGAACTGCGGGACGAGCTGTGAGGGAGGCCGAAGCGTCGCCGGCGATGACGAAGACGGCATTAGAGTAGAAGCAGGTGGCGGGACCACGGCTGCGGTGCCGTCAGAGGCGCCGCTTTCCGGTAACACAGCCTCGACCGCGGACATAGACAGCGCATGATTCTTACACACGTCAGCGTCAGCTCCGGCGGCGGCATTGCTGTTCATGTTGGCTGCTGGACTTGGGCTTAGCGCGATTTCATCTTTGAGCCTCTTACCTCCGTCAGCCGGCTTTCCATTCACTGCATCCGTACCGCCACGCCCGCCGCCCGCCGCTACGCCGCTGTCGTGCATGCCGTACATGCCGTCCCCGCTGATTGCTAACGGAGTTAAAGCTGGATCATGATCTCCGCTGCCATTGGCGCTACCGACAGCGCCAGCGCTTGTACTAGTGCTGCAGCGGCTGCCGGCGGCGGCGGCCACCCGGGGCTTGAAGGCGGGCGGGATATCTTCGCAGCATTCCACGACAGTGCCGGGGGTTGTTAACGTCGCGGCGAGGTAGTTAAAGAGGACGCCTACGGTGAGGAAGTAGCTGAACGCTGCGTGGAGGATCCAAGATGTGGCTGTGGTGGCGATACGGGGCAGCACAAATCCAATGCCCGGAGCGACGATGGACGTGATGAGCGCCAGGACGATTAGGACGACAAGGTACGACAGCCGTGAAAGCAGTCGCATGAAGGCGCGCCATACGCCTCGTCGGCGCGGCCGTGGCCGGAGGTGCGTCGGGCCGGCGTCGGGCGCGGCATCGCTCACCGCGCCACACCAGCCGCACTGCCAGGGATGTTCAAGGGGCAGCGGAGTTACCCAGCGGCATGGATGAAAGGCGAGTACGTGGCACCCAAGTGGGAAATGGGAAAAGGAGCGAGGGTTTCATGTCAAAGAACACTTGCAACACGGGAATCCGATGAGGTCCCTTGGAACCGTGGGATAACAGGTCTGGCTGTTGTCATAACTTACCCTGAACATCCGCGAAGGTATATTGTCTACCATGGGAATCTGCACAAGGACTCCACAAGCCCAGCACTGCACCGTTGGCGCACATGGCTGCGGTTCGTGTAACGTTGATAGTTCCACAGTAGCCATGACTGTCCCGTAATATAACCTTTGACCCAGTAATATCAACGTTTTGCTTCTTGTTTGCAGGCGTGTCCGAATTCCTCGTACGCACCGGCTGTACTCAAGCCGGGATAGCTACGCTCAAAACTGTCCGTTACAAACAATATCGATAGGTTGTGTATTTAGCTTGCTGGCGCGTTGCAATTACGTTTCTGTCCGTGCTTTCTCGCCTACACATCTTGCTTGCAGCTAGACCTCGTTTTGAGCTCCCTGCCATCTAACAGGCTGTCTCCACACAGGTACTATTGCGGACAACCCGTATATGCCAAACTTCTTCTTCTCCGCAAGTTTTCGACGTGCTGGCATGTGACCTGCTGCGCCCGCGTGGCCCCGCATCGCACCGGCAGCAACGGCCCATCCATGAAGTGATGAAAGTTTCATCTCATAGCTAGAACGTGACGAATCGGGAGCGCTTGTGCTCCAGCTGTGGTTGAATTCTTCCCCCGCGGGGAAACCATTAGAAATGTATCGGGATGCCCGTAACGGTTCAGCTGCGGCAGAGAATCCCCAGCACGGCAGCCAGCCAGGACCCTCACAAACCCAGGCGAATATGCAGACTCAGGGTACAGGGATCCCTCCATCAAGTTTGAACTTCAAGTACAAGTACATGGGCAGGTGGGCCACTAGGAAAGCGCAGCCCAGGAAAAGTGTTGTTACAGAGCAACAAGGAGCCATGCCACTCCAGCTCAACTTATTTTCCTCACAATTTACCCAAGCACATCATAACCCACTTAGCCCAAGCCCACCAATCTAATCCCATGTCCCAAATTTCAAATCCCCCTCTTCCTCCATTTCAGAGCTGAATTCGCGTCCGACACCGCCGCTGCCCTCCGATCTTCCCCGCACCTTGGACTCCACCCGTCCTCTGCAACCACAAACTACACGACCTCCTCGGCGCCACTCTGCTGGGGTCACACCCTGACCCCTGCAACCCCTTAACCCCCCTGTTTCACTGCTTCTCCTGTCCCTGCCCTGCCCTGCCCTGCCCGGGTCATTTTAACACCCCCCAAATCCCACCCCCATGCCCCATTATCCTCCTCTGCCCCTTCTCCTACAACACCCCTGCCCCTGCCTCTTCCTATAGACCTCAACTCCTTACACAGCCGACTCGTTTTGCATCTTCGTTCCTTAGCCCCTGACCTCACCCTGCTCCCCATCACTAACCCCGGCCCTGCCGCACTACCTCCGGTCGCCACCTCCCTACCCTCTAGCTCGACAATTATTTCTTTGACTTTTGCAGCCTTTTATAAAATCCCCAGCCCCCTTGTCGTCACCTGGTCATTACTTGCATATGCTTCCCCCGGGGCCCCCCACTGCAGCCTCCAGGAGGACCATCGCGAGCCTATCTTTTGCGTCACCTTCAACAACTTTGATATGGCCCACCGGGATGTTTTCGCCACCGTGGGGCAACACCGGGTGCGTGTCCGGGCAGTGGGGCCAACATTAGCCCAACATTAGGCCAACATTAGCGCGAGGGTCCCCCTATGACGCCAGCGAGGCGTACGAGGCGGGGCCTCTTGTCTGTCCTTGGCTCGACGGGAAAGCAACACCGCGGCGATGGCCCGTGATGGTTAGTTGCCCTGCTGTTCCCGGTATGACATGTTCAGGATGTTTACCACCCGCAGATCCTCCTAGAGGTCCCCCGTCCGTCCACCCCCTCCCTGAAGGTGCATCTGGGTGCATCGGCCCACAGTTGCAAGCAGTGTCGTGTGTCGGCCTACTACTGTGCCGACTACTATTGTCACTGCCGACTGTCGTTGGTGATGCACCGTAAAGTAATGCACCGTATCCTTACTGCCACACGTTGTTGCTGCTATTGTCAGGCCTCCATTTACCGGTTGCTCCCGGGGGGACAGTTCGAGCTGCTACAGGTGCGGAGGAGGGTCTTGGGAAGGGAGTGGGAGGGATAAATAACTTTGGGTTTGGGGATCGGAAGGTGGGGGATCGGGGGGGGGAGATTGGCGGGGGGGAAAGAGCGCCAAAAGGTACGGACTGTCAGGTGACACTTTTTTACTGGCAGATGATGATGATGATGATGATGAACAGACAAAAATGTGTCTTTAATCAGTATACTTTTCGCGCGGGCATCCTCACCCCTCAACCCCCGAGACGTTTTTCCATTCCCGCCTTTCTGGTCGCCCCCCTCCGCTGTCGGCCCCCCTCCCTTGGCCGCACTACTTGATGGCGCATCCAGGTGTCATCGGCAGTTTTGTTCCTCTGACTTAAGCATCGCGAATATATTTCCCCCTTTTTCTCAACTGATGTTGTTGCTGCTGCTGCTGCTGCTGCACAGGTTTATGAAGACGCTGACGTGAGTGAGTGAAGATGCGTGGCCCAATGGAGAAGTTCTGCTACTGCTGCTTCTGTTGCTACTCCTGGCCCCGACTCTAAGACCCGCTGGAGCTACCCGAACCCGAGGTTCCATCATATGCACACACGCCCGACATCCTCCTACTTCCCATACTCAATCACCTAAACAAGCGTTTCTGGCCCGGGAAAAATCTGGGGAATCCTGATGCCGATGATGCAGCGCGGCCGGAGGGGTTCCGAAGCCGGCAGTGGAGGTGGGGCCGAAGGGGACATCGGTGAGAAGTTTTACTGCTGCAAGTGGTCGGTAGACGAGGAAAGCGGCGCGGCGTTGCTGCTGCTTGCCGGGGAGAAGGCGCTGGTGCGGGTGCTGGACGTCAGCCGCGGCTACCTAGTGCATGTGAGTGCGTGTAACAGGGCAGGGGAAGGAGGTGGGAGGGTGGAAATATCCCTTACCCTTAACACGTCGGCCCACTCCGTGACCCGCTCATCGTGCGGGAGCTGCGAACCAACATTACAAAGCAACGTCCCCAACCAGCCAACTAACAGACCCGTGCTGATGCTTTCTTAAGAACAAAACACACAAAACATGAAGTCGAACACGGATGATGCACATATACATACGCACGCATCTCCAGGCGGGAGATCTCTTTTAACGTCTCGAATCGTCACCGTTTCCTTTTGATACACTTTTTTACTACTACTGCAGACGTTTGCAGGCCACGGCAAGGTCATCAACGACATTGCCGTACACCCCAGTCGTCCGCGCCTCTTCCTATCAGCAGCTGAAGACGAAAGCATACGACTGTGGAACATCCGGTGGGGGGGGATGTGTGGGCGTGTAGTAGAGGAAGTGCGGTTAGCTGGGTGGGCAGGGAAGGGCAGGGAGGTGAGAGGAGTGACACGCAAAAACAACTCTTTGTGATTCATTTCATTGGGTAGTTTGGTGCGTGCGTCTTATGCGCAGGTCCCATGGAGGGATCATGTGCTCGTGCATCTGTCTGTCTATTCTACACTTACCTGCTATGCGTAGTGATGGTGAGGATCTTCGGAGAGGAGCACCGAGGCCCTGTAGGGTCTGGAAGACGGACGGCTCGGGGGGTGAGTGGTATAGATTTGAGCGGAGGAGGCTGGTGCCATGGGGCCGACAGCCTCGGTGGCGTTCTGTTTGTTTGTTGGTTAGTTGGAGAAACAGTTGGGTTAGGTACTTTGATGGTTGTTTTTGGGGCCCAAGAGTTCATTGCATATGTTTGTGGAGTAGCGCACTGTGCCACACACGCGTCTATATGCCACCTGCCTTTTCGACCTTCCTATCCTGAAGGACCTTAGCACGGCTGTTCATTACTTAAGCAAAGCTCTTGAGAAGAGCGCGCTGGTAGCTTAAGATTTTGACAGCAACCTTGAGGTTATTAGGACTGCAGCGCTTCTTTCGTGCTGCGGGCCCACGAAAATTTATGCGAAGATGGCCTGCCGGACAGTATTATTTCTTTCCGCGGCTTCCTTGATATGCGGGTAAGGAGCTCTGCCCTGAAGGAAGACGCCATTTGCGATGGGGGCATGTGCAGGTCCCGCACTTGCGTTGCGATATTTGCGGGCGAAGGCGGTCACCGCAACAAGGTGCTCAGCTTGGTGGGTGCTTGCTTGAGGAGGTAACCAGCCTGCGATATTAGGGTGAAGTGGATACGTTGGTCAGACATGGGTGTATGTGTGTATGTGAGTGTATATGTGTGCCCGCGCGCGTGGTGTGTGATTTGCGCGTGCGTGTGTGAGTGTGTGGGTGTGCGTTGCAGCGGATTTACGTCGCTTAGGCCCACAAAGTGTAGAAGCAATGTGCCGCACCAAAGCCGTGCTTAATTGGCGGCGTGCATGTATGCGCTTGTGTTTATGCGTGCGACGAAGGGAGGGTAGCGTTTGGCGTTCCAAAATGCTCAGAATCCCACACGTTCTCGCCGCGCATCCGCTCCGGCCCCACCTCGTCCTTTACCATGTCCCCCCCTCCTCTTTCTCCCGCTCCACACGCCTCCTCCCCTTCCCCTCCACGGCCCCCGCCTCTTTTCCCCGGGGGCCATCCTTCTCCCTCCCCGAAATCCACCCCATGCCCCTGGCCCCTTCTCGTGCGTCCATGATCGAACCGCTTCCCTTGGGCCCTGCGGTCCCTGGTTTTCATGTCTACCCCGGAATGGTATCATGGGACCATCACGATGCTTTGTTTATTCCCTTTGCGCGTTCCGCGCCTTCCCTCTTTCCTCCACCGGCTCGTCCTTCGGACCTCCGCAGGACTTCCACCCTTGGGACGGTGAACGTTTCTTGTCCGCCGGAATGGATAACGCAGTCAAGATATGGAGCTTGGCGCCCATTGAGCGACTGATCGACGAGTCGGATGCGGCCGTGGATGGCTGCGTGGACAGTGGCGAGGGCGGCGTCGCCACGGCGGCGGGCTTACGGCGGGCCTTTCCCACACGCGTCGTACAGCAACCATTGTTTTCCACGTTGCAGGTGCTGCTGCTGTTTGTTGATTGTTCATGCGCGGCGGGGCCGTTTGGTGCTGGTTTTGCTGCTTGCTGCTTTGCCTGCGCTCATGCTTTTGTCCCGTGTGCTGCTGCTTATGCCACGTCCGACGATGAAGCAGCTTGGTTCGCCTGTGCATCTGCCTTCCAGTTCGTCTGCCATTCAATACGCCAACCTATCGGCTGTATGTAATTGTGAAATGTACAGGCAATTGTATGCCTGTTTAAATAAAAACCTTTTTTATTTATGGAGCGTGGTAGAGAGCGCGTGCCTCGTGTGTTCGTGAATGTTTTAATGAACCGAGTGGACAGGAAGGGAATGGCGAGAGGATGGCACACGTGAGCAACTTTATTGAAGGAAGTAGCCCAGCGTGATGGTACACGTGCATCTGTATGTGTATGTGTTCGTCGGGACCGCATGACCAGTACGTCCAGATAATGGCAAATGGCAAATTTGCCACAAGCAAGCCAAGGAGTATATCTGATGACGTGTCGCCATATATCCCTTCGCGCGGCACGCAGGTCCATAATGACTACGTTGACTGCGTGCGTTGGCTGGGGGACTTGGTGCTCTCAAAATCCGTACATGACGTCATTACGTTATGGCGACCCGGGGGACAGTCGAAGCACCGAAAGCTACCGCCGGGGGCGGCGGCGGCGGTGGCATCATCGGTTGCCGACGACGGCGGCGGCGATGGCGATGACAGCGAAGCTGACAGCAACGTGGGGCTGTCGACGTCGGGTCGCTTGGGTGGAGAGAGCGTCGCCAGCAGAGCCACTCGGATAATGGTGCGTCGTTAGTCATGGAGGAGATTAAGGCAAAACGACTGCTGCGGAGAGACCCCTGGGTCAAGGGTTGTAATGCGAAGCCTGAATAGATACTAGTGGTTGTCGATCCGGAGAAAACATGTGACATCGTAATTCATGAAGGTTATCTGAGGGTGTATATATGGACCTGGGTTACGGTTCGTTGCGGCGGGAGGCAGAAGGGAAGCTTGACCGAAGGGCAGGTCAATGGAGGTGATGGGTTTTTCTACTGGTTGGGCGGGCAGTGGGTCGATTCGGACTAGAATGCAGTTGGAGCCGCAGCACCACAACGTTAACTTAATAGTACTCCGAGTTTTGCAGTCATAGCGAGCTTCACTTGCGTCCTCCTCCCAACCCCTCATCTTCTCCCATGCAGAATTTTAAGTTGTCCGATAGCCATCGTACCTGGTTTGTCCGCTTTTCCTGCGACGTGCAGTATTCTGTGCTGGCGTGCGGCAGCGCCAGGTAAGATACAGGGTACATGTGCTTTGGGCTTGGATTGACTTTCCTGTTCTTCTCTATTCCTTGCCCAGTCGCGGTTTACATATATTTCATCCCCACTTAGAGGCTTCTCAGATGCCCTGCGTACCAGCTTGTTCGGTCCGTCCATAATCCTCGCAAGACCGATTTAAAACAATATCCCCAATTGACAGTTCGAGTTCGAGTGTCGAAGTGAAGCACTTTTATCGTCAAGGACATGTACCGTGAAGATGGTACTGATAGCGCCCTTCCCATCATCGCTGCCCACCTGAGCAGGGGCAAAGTGTTCGTTTTCTCGCTGCTCGCCACTACACTGGCTGGCACCGAAGGGGCACCAAGGGCCAAGTTAACCGCACCGCAGTGCAAAGTGGTGGTGAGGCATGCTGGTGTCGTACGCAGAAGACATTATCTAGTTTTGATCGAAGGATGCCATGTTGATGCACACCAGTGTAGCTTTGGTCGCATTCGAAACGCAGGTACAATTTGCTTAAAACGCAGGTACGACAGACGGCAGTTAGCTATGACGGCACTACCATCCTGGCCAGCTGCGATGATGGCTCCGTGCACCGCTGGGATCGGGACAACAGTATGGAGGTGGTCCCATGAGGAGAATTACTCAGCTATGATCGCATACGCCACTAGGGGTTGGGTAATGGGCTGTAATTGGTAGACATATTGGACAAGGTCGTCGCCTGACTTCTTCCTAAGTGTTCACAAATGGCGTGCAGATATAGGAGGATTTAGGAAATCTCGATTGATGCATGAAGCCAGTGTCAAAGCGTGACTATGCAACTTACAACGGCACCACATCCCCGTACACGCGGAACCTGGAGACGATTCCCAATTACAATCACGACTAGTAACACAATATACCTACTTTTCAAACCATCTCTTGCCATACTCTGCTTGCAGCTCGATGCGATGTCCGCATGTCTAAAGTTAAGATGGCACACGGCCTACAATCCTCTCTTAAATGTAGATGTGTGGCGGTTGCACGAATATTCATGTATGGAATACACAGTCGCGGAATACACATCCCTGCCTTGTGCCTCAAGCCTGTGCCGTATGACGGCTGCATTGCATCTCTTGTCAGAAAAATCCCCTCACCACCCGTGTTCCCAACCAGACTCTACTTACCCCATGCCCCTATTTCACAATCCATGTGTAAATCCCGTCCCATTCTTTCACCATGTCACACCACGCTAGGCACGAAAAACAATACATCGTTGCCTGGCAATAGCCAACACAGCAGCCCGGTAAACAGCCCTCAAAACGTAACGCATGTCCGTGAGCATGCTAGGCACTCAAATAACAAGCACGAGCTATACGCGTCCTCCGTTCCTGCAAGCTGCTGCACCAAGGTGCCTTACATGGCGACCAGCTCGTATGCTCTGCGCTATGCAGCTGCCCAACGCGCCTTGTTTGATGTACAGACCGGAACTTAGCCCATAGCGTACTTCCGGGTCCACTCCCTTGCGGTCTCCTCGTACCGACGTCGGTCAGTCTTGTAGATGTGGGCAATCTCAGGGACCAGCGGGTCATCTGGGTTAGGGTCTGTGAGCAAGGAGCAAATGGACAGGAGAACCTGCGGGAGTCGCAACACCACGTGGGAGCACTCAGCAGTGAGCTCCGCAACCAGCTAGCCTACGGTGTTTCTGCAACCCGTTACCCGCGACGTTAGCATTAGCCCATCCTCATTATACATTGGACGCTGCAACCGGGTACGTTGGTGACTCGCCTTCGAGATGGTCAGCGCTGGGCTCCACTGGTCTTTGAGGATGTCCAAGCAGATGCTTCCCTGACTGTTCACATTGGGGTGGTACACCTGTGTAGCCAAGGAACGCGAGTAGGGCTCAAATATGCAACAAACATGACAGGCAGTCCAAAGTGTTGGCAAAGGCGACGCTGAACTGGGTGCGGAGGCCGTGAAGGTAAAACATTATGTTAGCGGACCTTCGTCTGAAAAGTGACCTTGGGCGGCTTGAACGGGTAGTCCGGCGGGAACATGATGTTTACAAAGAAGACACCTCCCGCATACGGGCTGTCGCTAGGGCCCATAATCGTTGCCTACAATATGAATGGAATGGTTAGCGGAGTGAGCAAAAATTGGCTCCAACAAACAGGGCCAGCACCTCCTGCACCGAAGAAGGCCGCCGCACCTGCCAATGGAAGAGGTCATCACCAGCAGGGCCAGCGCTGCAAGATGTGGGCGGATCCTTCTGAAGGTCCTGTAGGCGCAGACGAGACGGCCAGGGTTAGGGCGCGGGCCCCACGAAAGGTGCGATGGCCTCGGCCGGGCAGGACGGCCACAAAGTCGCTCCGCTGTACACAGCCCTAACCATCGCGCTCTGCAAGAGCGTCCCAATTCTATTGCCGCCCGTTCACAGAGAACTAGAAGCGCGATATGGAAGGGAAGCGAACCCCATAGAAGATCTACAGCAGATCCTCTTCCCAACCAGGAGGACAGGACATTTATGCCCCTTTCAATGTACAAACCTGCAGCTCCTTCTGAATGCGCTTTGAAGCCATTTCCAAAAGCTAATGGACTTCTAACTAAGGGAAAGGCTTAGGAGCGCCTTGAGGAGGTAATGCAATGTTCTAGGCTACTCGTTTCCCAAAGGACGGCTCCTGTATAACAGAGAAAGAAGAGTTATAGGGAAAGGCATGTGACCCTGCAATTCACAAAGGGCCGATTGTACGGAAAACCGTAATTTCCAGTGTTTTTGTGTGACTTTTATCATTTTGTCCTCATTTGTGGTTGTTATTGATAAGCGCTTGCTGAATGTCGTCGTTTTGCTAAGTTGCAATGCCGGTCAAACTATCCTTCCTGGGCAGAGATAACAATTTCGACGGGCCACAGCACCTCTGCTACATGCAACGTCCATCTGGTTTGAGTATGGATGAATAGCATGGGCTGCCGTGGCTGTCATTAGGCGAGATCCTCCTGAACCAGCCCAGTTCGTCGTCAACGCTCCAGTCCTATTAGCGGCTCTTGATTACATGGTGCACAAATGTGCCCATGCCTCCTAGAAAATTACATATATTTTGCTATAGCTGCTTGCATTCTGGCTTACCCCCTTCGTCCTATCTGCCGGGGAGGTACTCTCCCGGGGTTGGATATGTAGTCATTGCAACAGATTGGATCATTTAATGCCAGTATTTCACCTGCGCCACAACCCCTTAACGCCCCGAGCCAGACAAGGGCCGAGGGCAAGGCAGCCCGAATCCGTGGAGCTGGGTTTCCTCGTGCTCAAGTTACGCGCCATCGCAGTTTTACTCCTGTAGCAGCCGCACCTTGAAAACATGCATGCCACGTGCGGCGCCATCAATACGCACGCAGAACTGCCCCTGCACTTCGATCCAGTTGGCCGGAGAACGCCAAGCCGCTTCTCCTCTGGTGTCAATGCGGCTCGCAGCTCGACGCACGCAAAGGTGAGAATTTTTCCAAGGGCTTCTGGTCAGGGGGTTCTTTCCAGAGCCCTAGTATAAGTTCGTAATGCTTCTTGAAGCGGTTATAAGGTTGGATCCCTGGGATTACCCCCAACAAAAGGCTAGAGGTACGGGCGGCAAATCTCGGCAAGCAATCATCGACGTTTCAGTATCAGTCTTTTTGCGCCCGGCCCGCCCAACCCGTCCGCTGTAGGTGGCACTTGTACATGTCCCCAAGCACGCGGCACTGCATATGTCAGCCAGATACCAGTCTTGCAGCGCCGTGCTGCACATCCGCCAAGTCCTCGCAGGTCGGCGTCCTCGCCAGGCAAACCGGATCATACCCCCCATCTCTTTGCCTTCTCTTGTAATTCGTTGCCTTGTGTTCGTTGCCCGAGAATTCGGCTTCCCGTGGCGCCATTTTGCTGTTATCATCTTAAGCGTTCCAACTCATGCTATTTGCCATTTCCGGTGTCCTTGCTTGCCATCTGCGCCAATGCCATAAGATTGCCATATCCTTTGCTCAGCTCGTACGTCGTCATGAGCCCAGGTCGATCCGCACAGCATGATACCCGGTACCGCTGTTTTCCGCTGGTATAAATCCTTCAGGGCGTAGACACATCCCATCTGGACGACTGGCTCATGCAGCAACAGCAACTTACTGGGGATCAGGTGGAACAACGGGACGAAGATTACGAACTAACGACCAGCACCGTCACAGCTGCGTGCCGTTCGTCATGCGGCGGCGACCGCGATGATGTATCTTCCTCATCGCCGCGACCTTCCGTAGCGGCGCTAACAGCAGCTATGGCAGCAGCGGGCACCTTGCCGCTCGATCCGTGGGTCAAGCCCGTGTCTTCTAAGAAATCTCGGTCCGGTCCAAGGCGCTCGTTTTCGCCGGTTCAGGGGCCAGTCGGCGCCAACGGAACAACGCCGCGCCGTGGCGGGAGGATCGGGACCACGCCGAGGAGTCGAACCCTCAGCTGTGGCAGGTCTGGGGCGGCATTGGCAGGGACGGCATTCTCATCGCCCACCCCAACTGCTGCCGCCCGGGCCGCCGCTCCTGACGCCCCGCTTCTAGTTGGCTCTTGTCCCCGCCGGCGGCTAGATAGCTCCCGTCGCCGGAGGGTGTCGGCGGCCACGGCGGCACGCGGGATAGATGCCTGTGGAGCTGGGATGCCTAGGGCCCGCAGCGCCAGTGGCCAGCGGCGAAACCTCTTAGAGGAGCTGAAGCAACACTCGCAACCGCAACACCTGGTGAGCGCAACAGCGACTTCCCCGGAGCCGAAGCCGGAACACCAGCAGACGTCGCCTAGCCGGCCGGCACATGCGACAACGTCTGCCTCACACTCTCCTGCCGCTGGAAGCCCTAGACCTTGGGCGGGGCTGAGTCCTGAAGGTGCGGCGTCCATGTGGACTTCACCCACAGCCAGCAGTCATCATCCTTACCACCATAATTACAAGTCCCTCGACCCACAGCAGAACAACTCCCCGTGCGCAGCTTCTTCGGCTTGCGTTCCCATGGTCACTTCGGCATCCGGTGCCAAGATGCTCTGGGAGCAGGAACGTGGAGCTACTGCTGCAGCAAGCGGTACTGGCTGCAGCCCGAGGCCAGTGATTGGGTACGAGCAACCGCCCCGCGAGGGGTCGTCATCGCAGTGCATGTGCGAGGCACCGCAGGCCGCAAGGGGCCCGGGCAGCTCCCTGCTGCAATCCGCGCCCTGCCGCACGATGATCCCGACGACCCCTCAGGCGGCGTGGCTGGCTTCGACGCTTGCTACGGCCAACGGTGGCAGCGTTGCCGGCGTGGGCAGCTGCGGCTGCGATTTCAGCACCGGCAGCTTCAGCGACATGGGCATTGTGGACGCCTCTTTGGGTGGCGTGGCTCCTTCTTCCCCTACCGCCTGCCCGACAGGCTGTTGTTTAGAGGGCAGCCTCGGCGGTCAGGTACCTGCATGCACAAGTGGTAGTGGCGCGGTTCCAAAACAAGGATTTTCAAAAGGAGGTTTTTCGGTTTGTACCGGGCCTGGAAGGGGTTCTCAGGACGCGGGCGGGCTCGCGGCTCACCCGCGGGCAGCGGCAGTGGTGGCCGCACCGTTGCCCATCCGCCATGGTGTGGCTACGCTTGCGGAAGGCAGCACCACCAGTGCTGCTGCTGTCCCGTGCAACACCCCAGCTGTCCCCGAATCTGCAGTCATGGTACACGGCGGTACCGATAGCGGAGGTGGAAGCCTGGCCAGCAGCAGCGACATTAGTTTAGTAAACCCCGTCTATGTCGCCGCCGCCACCTGCACGCAACCCAAAAGGGGAAGCTGCCCCGTCCCAGCTGCAGCGGCGCCTACAGTTGCATTCCCTTCATTCAAAACAAGCCCGCCGCAGCTAGAAACGGCATTCCTGGCAACTTCCCCCCTGCTACCTTTCCTTGGCGGTTGCGAGAGCACCTCTGACGCCGTTGTACGGCAGCTCGTCGCAATCGTACAGTCCCAGGCGGCACAAATCAAGAACCTACACAGCTGTTTGGCCGCATCCGGAGCACCGCCGTTGCCACCGCAGCAACAACTGCAGCAGCAGCAGCAGCAAGAGGAAGGCGGGCGCAAGGTGCAGCAACTGCAGCAGCAGCAGCAGCAACCGTGCAGCGATCCTGGCCCGGACGAGGCTTCAGCCGGGCACCGGGGACTAACTTCGGTTGGAAGCTGGATGGGAGAGAAGTCCGGGGCTGGGCTCGGCAGCCGTGGTGGGTCCGAAACCGGGGCAGGTTGCGGCCTTGGAAATGCAGCGGGAGGGGGCTCCCTTGGTCAGCAGCTGGTGCCGCTTCGCAGCAGCTGCAGCAACAGTGCTCACTACCATGACAGCGTAGGGAGCTTGCGTAGCTCCCGAGGGGTGCTGGAGCTGATGAGCAGTGCGGCGGACGGAGGTGGGGATGCAGCTCGCAGCGGAGCTAAGGACAGAGCTGGCTTGCCGGCGTGCCCCATGTCAAAAAGCGTTGGGCAAGGCAGCCAGGGCGGCAAGGAACGAGGCGCTGACGGGGGCCACGACTCCAATGTGAACACCGCCGACCTGATCAGCCTTGACGACTGGTGGATTTTTGAAAAAAGTGGACGAGAAGAAGGCGGCATAGCCGATGGCGGCGGGTGTCCCAGCGCGGCGGCGACCATAGTCGGTGCCAACCAACATCACCAGTCGCTGCCGAATTCACATCAATCCACCCAACCGCCGAGGAAACGCCCGCATCCTGACTCGCTGCTTGACGCGCCACACCTCCCAGCGGATGGCGGCGCAGCTGCCATGAGCCCCTCTGCTGGGCAGCCGGAGGCACCGGCAGGGTTGCTGGACTTGGATATTTTGCTTGAAGCTCTCTGGGCTGCACGTGGCGAAACGGAGCCGGCAGCAGCCTTGACGCTTACGCGTCCACTGGGGAAGGCGGAGGCGAAACAGGAAAGTCTCGGTGCTAAAGCAGCAGCAGCAGCAGAAGAAGAAGAAGAAGAAGAAGAAGAAAGGTATCCCAAAGAGCGGGACAGCGGAGGCGTCCAGGATCGTTGGGATCATCGCAGCGGGACCGGAGCCGGCTCCTTGGTGCGGGTGCCACTGAATGCAGGAAATGAGGTGCAGACCGGCGGCTGCAACCTGCCGCAGCCGCTCTACTGCTCTACCGACCAGGAACAGAAACCTCCTCAGCCGGAATCCCCCGGAGGCCAGCAGGTGGATCGACAAGGTCAGCAACGCCAGGAACAGGGACAGCGGCAATGTAAAGAACAGGGGGAAGAAGCCGAGAAAAGCGGGGGACAAAACCGACAACAGGAGCACCAGCCAGAGCAGCCTGGCGAGGAGACGATCTGCCACCAACACCACCAACACCGGTCCTCTTTCCGGGGGGCCCCGGAGCAGCGATGCACAATCGTGGACCCCGTCTGCAACCAACACATGGCGCTTGTACAGGACCACCAGCACCCCCTGCAGTCTGATCGCGCCGGCAGCATAGAACAGGAGCAGAGGTTGCAGCAGCTCGCGGGTCACCTGCATCAGCTGCACCCGCAGGATCCGGACCTGGGGCTGCTCCAGGAGCTGCGGGCTTCACCGCCGCCGCAACCGCAGGCCTCCTGGGATTCAATTTCTGAGGCTTCTCTTCGTCTGGAGGTAGATGAGCTGCGATGTCGACTGGCGCAGTTGGAGTTCGCAGCCACACAGCAGCGACAGCTGCAGACGCAGCAGCTGCTGCTCCTGCACACGAGGAGCCACGGAGGTCAACCGCCGCCGTCGTTGTCACCCCAGCAGCTGCGCGAACAGAGCCAGGAACATCAGCATCAGGAACGGCAGCAGCAGCAACAACTACCAGTTGAGTATGGTGCGGCTTCACCATCGCCGCTGGACTCCCAGCAGGTTCCCCAGCAGCCGGGGGCCGAACCTCAGCAACAGCGTCAGCAGCAGCAGCAGCAGCAACAACAAATCCAGCAGGAGGAGCGCAGGCGGCAGTTCTCCCAGGGGCCGTCCTTCCAGGGGACGAAGGAGCAGAAGGGCGAGGAGCAGGACAGGAGGATGGAACAGCAGCAGCAGGAGCTCCAAGGGGATAGGTTGGACGCACTGGCCCGTGAGGTGGCGTCGATACAGCAGCAGCTACGACAACAGGAATACGGCAACCGGGAGGTGCTGGACCAGCTGGCCAGGGGCTTGGAACATATGGCCACTTGCTTGCTGTCTGTGCTGCGACCGCTACCGCCGCCACAAGTGGACGTGGCCACCGTGGCGGCTGCGGCGGGGGCGTCGGCTTGGACGAGCAACTGTAGCGACAGGTTTGGAACAGGGGCGAGCGGCAACCAGTGTTCCGCCATGGCTGCCGCAGTGACGTCACCACCACTGCGGCCCTGCGCCCGTGCACTGCTCAATGGGCCGCCAGCGGTATCGCCGCGCGTTGACGATGCACGGCGGCAGCTGCGCGCGCTGCAGGAGGAGATGCGGCAAATGCGGGCTATGATGGCAGCGCAGGTGGTTGTCGCCGCAGTGGCCACGGCGACGGCATGCACTGGTGGCGGCAGCAGCGGGCAGGGACAGGGGCCGCGGCAGCGCGAGGGGACGCCTCCATGGGTGACGGCCGCGATGTTACACAGGGCTGCTGCTGCTGGCAGCTCAGCTGGGGACCCGTGTGCACGCATCTTCGCGCACATGCGTGCGCAGCAAGGTTGCGAATTGCAGCAGCAACAGCAGGCGCAGCACCAATTGCAAGGGGAGCTGCAGCTGCAGGTGCAGCAGCTGCAGAGGGAGGTTTCGGAGCTGCGCAAGGGCGAGGCCCTCACGGTGGAGGTGGGTTTGAGAGAGGAATAGGATGGTAGAGCCGGGAGGAAGGAGCCAATGCTTCCTCCCAATGTATAGGGGTTGACCATGGGCTGCAGGATCAAGATCAGGATAAGAAGTTTCTGACTGCAGTTTATCGGCGGGCGAGAGCTCAGCAGGGCGTCACCTGTGAGCAAACAAGCCGTCATTGGCATGGGCCTCGAAGAAAGGCCTCTCCTCCCTCCCTCCCTCCCTCCCTCACACTCCCTCCCGTATCGCTGACCCCCTTCCCCTCGGGCACCGTGTCCCACTGCTCCAAGTTCTGTATTATGTTCGGGATTTCTAAGCTTCACCTTTTCCTCCGTACATTTCCATTCGGCCCCACCACAGGCCCAGGAAGCCCTGGTGGATTTTGTCAATGACATGTGGCGACATCTAGATGAGCTGAGGACGAGCATGGTGCCCGCTCCCTTTGTTCTAGCCGCAGCTGTGGCTGGAACAGCAGCAGGTACTGCCATGGGTGATGCCCACTGGCCGATGGGGCAGCATAGGCCATCAGCTATGGCGGATACTGCTCCCGCGGCGTGTGGCCGTCAGCGGAACAGCAGCGGCTTGCTTCAGGAGCTATGCTGCGTTCCGATGTTGGGAACTTACCCCCTGCAGGGACAGCAGCAGCAGGAGGAGGGGGAAGACCAGGAGTATGTCTCAGGGGTAAGTTACCAGAAGGATGAGCAGCAGCAGCAGCAGCAGCAGCAGCAGCAGCCGGAGCTGCAGCAGCCGCATCGGGACTTCTGCCAGCTGGTGCCACCAGCAGCAGCCAACCAGCAGCCACCTCCGGACAAGGGCATCCGGGAGCAATATCAGCCCCGTGAGCAGCAGCTTACTGACATGGGGCTCGAGGATCAACAACGGAACGAGCAACATGATCAGCAGCACCAGTTGCAGCAGCCGCATCCAGACCAGCTGTCAGAGATGGTTGCAATTATCCAGAGCGTCAATTCCATGTTAAGTGGCAGCCTTATGCAGGTGAGCGCCTTTAGCGGCCGGGAGGAAAGGAGTATGGAGGCTTGGAAGGGGGGAAGGAGGGCGGTACCAGCCACCATCGGAGCGGGGGCCTGATCGCCGTCCTGCAAGCCCCGCGCAGGATGGTCGGCATGAGCGGCGGGTCGTGGGCCGCGGGTTGCGGTTCATACTAGCGACTCCGACGTTTGGAAGGCACAGTGTAACGTGCGCCCGTACACAGCACCATCCCAAGAGCCATGCATGCTGACCTGGAGATTTGCCGTTGGCTCCATAGTGTTTGGCACGCTTGACGTGTGTTTTTACCGTCCAGTGGTACTTGTGTCTTTGCTCATGCTATTCCGAACCCGCAGGCGGTTGAGAAGATTCAGTCACAGGGCGAGGAAATTGAGGAACTCAAAAGGTGCATGGCGCATGTCACTGGCCTGCGAAACGGTCTGCAGCTGTGACATGGCGAGTTGCGGGCTGGCGGTGGGGGGGGCCGGCGCAGCGCTGCTAAGGATCTGTTCGACGCCACGCGTAGGAGCTCTAAGGGATTAGAAAAATCATTCGATCCATTCTTTAATTCATGCCTTCTTTCTGCGTTTCTGCGAACGAGAAACGAGACTTAAAGATGACCATTCCTTCGTGATTGTGACGAGGAATAAAGACGCCTAAAAGGGTGTTTCCTATTGTGGTGCTCCTCCGCGCACCCTGAAGAAGGATTTAAATTTGTTTTTGCTTTTTCTATTATCTTTATCCTTGAAGTCTTCTTAAACCATGCCCCACTCATTCATCAAGCGCTCGTTTCATTTTTCTTCTTCCTTCATTCTTCTAGCCATTTTCTGTGCCTCGCTTATGTCTCCCTTGTCTAAGGGATTCCGTGAAGGCAAAACATTCAAGATTATTGTACCTTGGTGGACTGACGTGTGTGTGGTTGTTGACTGACGTGTTGGCTCAGGCTGCTTGCGCAGGGTTACCAACCCAGTGAGGCTATGGAAGAAACTGACCCTGCTTAAGGCTTGTGCTTTGTGACGTGCGACATACAACCAGGAATTCAGAAGCTTGCACGTGTCTCGATTGTGTGACGGCCCGCGAAACACCACTGTGTCCAATGCAGTTTTGACAGTGCCTTTATGGACGTTTAACTCAGAGCCCGAGTGCGATAGGCGCTTTCGTCCCGACGATACTGATTAGGAAGGTCGAAAGTTACTGGTTAGTAAGGCGTGCATTGCCGCGTGGCATCCTTTGCTCCATTTTCCCCGATCTCCATGCCAGACGTTTTGTGGTATTTTGCAAGCTTTTTAGATTGTCCGTGAGAGTCAGACTGCTTGTAACTTGCGACATACACTGTATGTTCTGCCACAATTTGGCGCGCTCATACAGCACTTTGGGAGCATCAGGGCGGGCGCGATGGCCTTGGCGGGCATATACACCAAACGTCAACGCGCTGAGGACCATCTGTTGAATGCTTGCGTGATGAAAACTGGGCCGTTTTATGAAGACGTCATAATTTTACCTTGATTAGGTTCTGGAATCCTACGTGAGTCAGCCTCGCAAAGATAATTTAAAGCGATGGCCTCTCCCAAGTTACGGCAGATGGCTTTAGTACCACTCGCTGAGCCGTATGCTTATTCAACATGCCCTGAACGGCAGTTGCAACGTACAAAACGGTGTTCGTCTGTGGCTTTACAAGTTACGATAGTGTAATATTTATGCTCACCTATCTTTGTTGGTGCAGCATCCCATCTAGAAACTTCAAAAGAATACATGAGAGTGCCTACCGTACACCAGCCAGCCAGCCAGCTGCTAGCTCGGAATTCCGACGATTCGCGCTAGTAGCGTTATGTGATGGCTCTCTCCTGTCCCCAAGGCCTGTGCCATGGCCTGCCAATCTAGCTATGGCCGTACACCTTCCGGTCATTGTGACATTTTGCGATTATGACGCAAATGCACAATACTCAGATAACGCAGCAGACCATCAAACTGATCATTTTCAAAGAGGGAAATATCGATGTGCTGGATATGTCAGTATGCGGGCCCAAAACGCCATATGTACGTCGGCCGTACGTGTGAAGGATCCCTTGAAAACGCATATGCCGTCCCAATGCCTACAAGGGTATCTGTAGCTGACCTACCCATAATGAATTAAGCGATGGCCTATGCACTTGTTCTCCAGCCTGCTCCGCCTGTGGTTGCGATTAAGATGGCCGCTGCTTTGCCAAGTGCTACCATGGGGCTCGGGAGTCTTGTTTTTGATTGTGAGGTAAGCTAATCGCAAATGAAGTCATCACCACAGCGCGAGCGATGCAATGTACCTGGGGCGTTTCGGCATAGCCGACGGTAAAAGGCGTCCGCGAATATCAAATCACACGAGTGTCAAATTCTCTGCCTTAAACATTTATCAATCTATTCCATTAACGCTTTAACGACGTGTGCCGCAGGTGGACGACATATCTAACACGCGGGACATCGTGTTGCCTACTCCGCGCAGTAGAGAAAAGCTATCCCAGGATAAGGAGAAGATCATTCATTTTAGCTCACCTGAGAACTCCTACACGATGAAGGTATGGGAGATGCTTGCCGCATGCGTTGCGGCAAGGTACACCGGCGGCGAGTGTGGCCAAAGAGCATATGCCAAGGATTCGTTAGGACGGGTCTTTTGATCTTGCTTAGAAGCTGCTCACCTGTTATTCACTGTTATGACATGCTGAGTATGGCAAGCTCATGGCTGATATAGTCGCGAAGTGTTGTAACCAACGGGGTTTGGACTGCCCTTTAGCTTAACTACAGATCTGCTGCCTGTGGATGCATACTAGATACCAAACTCATCTTTTTGCTCCGAATATAAGCTGCTAATCTTTGCTGCACGGGCTGCAACATGTATGCTTGCACTTACGGAAAGATACGGAACCCTTCCTTTTCGCTCATTTGCAGCTCCTGCGGGACGTGCGCTATTTTGTCAACGAGGAACGCGATCCAGATGCAATATTACTGGCGACGAAACTGTCGGCCGTGGGATACTCCGTTAACGTCCGGACGGCGCTGGGCGGTGGCACTGCATGCTTCAGGTCAGTGGCGCTCAACTTTAAAAGAAGTTTATACTTGAAATTACTTGAATGTCGAATTGCGGCTGTCTGAAGCGTCTCACTCAAGTACTGAAACGTTTGTGATTCCACATCTGTGAGCCAGACCTTGACACCTTTTCCCCCAAAATATCCAGTCGCACCAAATAACCTACTCACATCCGAAACCTACCAGGAACCTCCGTCACGAATTCTTGATGGTACGGGGCCACGGTAACTTCGAGGGCGTTGAGTTCATTGTGGAGCCCCGTTTTCGGGAGCATTTTTCTATCCCCCATCCGACTGAGGAATATTCGGAGCTGCTCAGCCATGCGCCAGACGTGTTTGTGGGTGTCGGAGGCCGTTTAGTTCCGATCGTGCAGGTATGAGTGCAAGTTATGCCTTGGCCAACGGATGCTGCCGCCCAGATCGAATGCCCTACCGCTAACCACACGATACCACACCACTCCATTACCCCCAAGATGCCACTGCTCACCCGAACGCATATCACTTGGCCACCTGCATATCGGTACTATATATTTATCCCCGATCGTTTTCCAGCCCGAACCTATGCAACTTTTCCCATGCAGATGCTAGGCGATACTGTATGCTCTGAGTCGCTGCCGCCGCAACTCCTTGCAAGCACGCAATAGTAATACGAAGCCAGGCGCACACCTTCCTGCCAAGCGCCAACCAACTTGCGCTCCCTGCTCTGAAACCGCGTACTTGTTCCTCTCGATGCAGACCCTGTGCGAGGCGATGGCAGACTCCTTTGCGCGGAAGTCCCTGACCCTCCCTCCCTGGAGACGTACGCAGTCCATGCTCAGCAAATGGATGCCAAACCGTGCGCGGGACATGTCGTTCAGCCGAGGCAGCGCCCCACCACACAACGCCTTCCTTAGCCATGAGCCCGACAGTCCCAACCCGTCGTCGTCCGGAGCGCCGGCACCGGCCGGCGCCGGACATGGACCCCATGGACCCGACGCCTCGGGCTTGCCCTTCCTGCGTATCAGCGATCCACTCTGCGTGCGCGGCGGCCACACTAGCTCTAGTTACCGACAGCAGCAGCAGGTTTCGGCTACACAGCAGCAGAATCCAGAGCCCCGTGATGAGTGGGTGGTCGCGACCCATGGGTTCATCCCATTTGGCGGCGCCGGTGGATGCAGCTCCGATACGGAAGGCCCTTCGCCGCCAGCAGCACCGGAGGTGCTGACGTCTGCGACGGCGGTTGCTAGCAACGACGACGGCGGCGGCGGCGGTGGGGGGCCCAGCGGCCGCCTGTCTCACCCATGCAACAGCGGGGAGGTTGCCACTGTCACTGCCACTGCTGGGGGGACGGCGGCGGCTGGCTGTACTGTGCGGCCACGTGGCGGCGGCGGCAGCGGCGGCAGCGGCCACAGCGGCAACAGCGGCCTCCTGGCTTCCCGACTGCAGCAGAATGCTCAAGCAGGAGGGACAGCAGCCATCGCCGCCGATGGGCCCTATGATGCGCAGCGCATGCAAGACCTGCACCAGAATCGTTACCACTGCCAAGGGCGGGTGCTGGAAACACGACCGCCTTTGTACTGCGGCGAGGCACCGATCCACCGGATCCGCATGGGCTTCCGGATTACACAGCCCCAAACTGAAGGCCCGAGCGGGGCCCCGCAAGTTGAAGTGCGGACGCAGGTGCAAGGTCAGGCGCGGACGCAGGTACAGACAGCACAGGGGTAACAGAAGAGCTGCTGGGGCCAGAGCGCGCTGCGGCGCTACGTGGTGCTTAAGGAGGAGGAGGAGGAGGAGGAGGCTCTCTGGGCCAACAGGCCCTTTCCGGCTTGATGTGTATGCGCCCGGAGTTTTTTGGAAGGTTGTGTGCCCCGCGCAGAGGGGGCGCCGCGTGTGGCTCCAACCCTGCCTACCTCCTCTCTTCTCACGCACAGCATGCATACATGCATAAACACGTATATACGTAATTCGCATGACACAAGCAAGCACACGATCACGCATGCATAGCTATGCACACAGAGACATCACACACACACACGCACTCTCTCTCTCCCAGGCAGCAAAGTGGGGAACCCGTGGGACACAGAAGCACGTTGAGTGTGATGCATTCGTAAATGTCAGGACTTGGCCCGGGCAACGGCGATGAGAGATATCAGTGGGAATGTCTGTCTATCTATCCGCGTCCGTGTATGTAGTGGATATAGACATAGATTGCGCGGAGAGCTGCAGCGGCAGCAGCAACAGCAGCAGCAAATCTGCTATTACACAACAGTATCAGCGTGTAGCAGCGCAAATTTCGGTGTTCATTGCTAATTTTTGATGACGATGCGGATTTCTGGGCTGTCTCCATTTGTATTGGACTGGACTTTTCTGGAGTTCGTGCCCCCTTCCGTCGTCGCTGGATTTATTTCCCTACCTACACAGACGAATCAGCGATGGTGGGTCAGAGATTCAAAATATTCTGTCTTCACAGAAACAGCTGAGTGTGTGGTGGGCGGAGGTAGAAGAGGAGGTGGTGACCGAGGTACCGCAAGGCATGAACAGGATGCGAGTTGCATGGCAAAGGAGAATGGCTGGCAACTCGCGTGGACAAGCTAGAGCCCCAAGAGCCACCGGCCGCGGCATGCGGCGCAATTTTGGCGCTTCCAGCCTCGTAGCGGTTGAGCGTGCACTCCTTTTCTTTGTCGCGCTATTCCTAGAACTTGAATTGAATTTGTACAGGAGTGCGGCATTTGCAAGGAGTAGTGCTGGCGGGCAGTGCAGATGAGGCGTGGGGGTGCGGGTGTCCAGGAGGATCTGGATCTAAACCTGGATCTGAAATGCTGGATCCAAATCTGGATCTATAGAGCAGAAAAATGCTGTTGCGGAGGAAGAAAGTGCTGCGGAGGAGATTGTTTGGTTATTTGGCAATTAGTTAGAAAACGTAGAAAAGAAATGAGGACCTAGCGGCAGATTGTCTAACTTGCGGCCCCAGTTGTGTCATGTTGGGCATGGAGCATGGCGGGCTCAGGCATTTTTCCCTACCTCGGGTCGCGCCCATCTTTGGCGGGCGCGACAGCCGTACGGGGCTCATGGCCAGCTCCACCGATCGATCACCTTATTGGTGGTAAAGTTTTGAATGCGTTCCTAGGAGGAGAAGGAGGAGGGCATGATGGCTAGCATGAACATCACCACCATCGGGCTTCGCCATACACCTCCTGTCATCCGTGTGCAGAGCACAGACGAGATATTCTGTGTGAAGTCTGACCTTGTGTGCCGTACATGCATGTTTTTTTGACGAATGTGCACAATTTCATCATCGTTTGCTTTGTTTGCATCGCGTATTATGAAACCTTTCTGAGCGACTTGTGAAACGGATTATGTTTGTGCGGTCACCCGTGCAGCGTCTCTCTCTATGTGTGCTCTGGCGCTCTGTTGAGTAAAAAGATAAAAATGTTTTACGTTTATGTTACGAAACTGGCATTTCCTGGCCACTATAAAGGCTGGAGTATGACTATTTTGCGGCCTAAGCCCGAGATCTTTACGAGCTGGCTTTGCACACACCCGCGCGCGCAAAGCAGGAGAGAGGAGAAGGAAGCTGCGACACCAAGCGGTGCACGGTTGGATTGGCTGTGGCAGCTGACCAGGGTAACTCTCTTGCGAGGTGATCCGATCCGTGTGTACGCGTTTTCGTGCCTATTTGTGCGTACATGCGTATTGTAGACGCACATGCATTTCTGGCGCACCACGAAGGCGCCTGCAACAATTCATGCTAGATACGACATGGGTGTTCATGGCGGGGCCGTACATCAAATGGAAAAGAAAAATCTATAAAAAAAACACTCAGTAAAGCACAAAGAGGGGGGTAATGACGGGGAAAGACCGCCGGTTGCGCCTCAAAAAGGATCTGTAGCAGCGGCAGCGAATGTTTTGTACAGTTCCTACGGTTGTACGGTGAACAATGTCCGAGTTGATTTCTTTCCGAAGTCGGAAGGTCTGATAGAATGATGATGGCGTTGCTACGGCGCGTGGATACCCTCGTTGTGGTTCCCGACTTGGAATGGCCGCATGGGGTGTTCTTGTACGGCCCTCCGGGTGTTGTTTGTTCCGAAACTTGTTGTTTTTACCCTTCACTCTCTGCCCCTCACTCTTCTCACGGCGCCTGCTTTGACGGCGCGTCTGTTTCGTACGTGTGTTCGAAAGCGGCCCGAAAGGAGCTCCTTCCCGTGTTTTGAGTTGCTTTCGTCGTGTCGCGTTTTTTGGGGGGTTATCGTTCGCCGGCTTCCTCTTGTGGAACCCTTGAAAGCAGCGATGAGTACCGAGTACGAACGGGGGGCCCACCTCAGGCCGCAATGCCCGTGGTGAAGAGCTGGCCTGAGCTTGGCAAGGGACCTGACATAAACCCCACACCAGCATAAACCCCACACCAGCATAGGGCGGGGTTCATGACCAGGCATGCAGGCTGGCATGCTGGCCGGGGTGAAACAACACATATATGTATCCTTCCCCTTAATGTAGGTCCAGCGGCCCTCCCACACAGAACCCAACGCGGGCTTAATCCCACGTGGTTGCATTCTGTTGGTTGTCGGTTGTGTTTGTTGTTGAATCCATAAAGAACACGCGCCACCAAGGAGCCTCCAACCAACATCTCTCTCAACCCCGGAAGGTGTACGTGGTATGCTCTTCCCGCTGATGTCCAACCCAGGCTCCGGATCCGGAACTTGCAGGCGATTGAGGCAGTTGTTAACTAACTGTAACCGTAACTGAACGCGAGGCAGCGATGTGGCCCGGACGGTTAGGGGGCGCGGTTGCTGGCAGTTGTTAACTGGAATGGCGACGGAGTGGGCAGTCTGCGAGCGCAGCGGGAGAAAGGGACGGCAGACGTAAAAATCGGATGTCAAGAATAAGAGTCATGGCTATCGCTAATCATTTCGGTAGATGTGATGATGATCCCTGAGGACGTGGTGGTGATGGTGGGTGGCGGTGGTGGGGTAGTGGGGAGGAACGGGGTCTGGAGAGACCGGGGTACAGGTAGGCGTACGCCATGCACGCCATGTACTGCGCCTCTAAAAGGTCCGGATTTTTTCTACGCAGGATTTGGACTATTTAACACCCGCACACACCCGCTCACACTCTTTCAGTGATGCAGGTGCCATGATCCATGACTGGGTGGATGCGTGAATGGATGGATGGATGGATGGATGGGCAGGTGGACAGGCAGCCTACTGGCTTTGTCAGCGAGATGGTTGGCAGGCTGGCTGGCCTGTTGATGCGGTGTGATTGGGGATGTTGTGCCTCCTCCCCCCTTCAATGGAGGACCGCAGCGTTTCAATCTCCCACCGAGTGGGCGGTGCGGCGGTTGGTGCGGTGGTGGTGCGAAAGCGCACGATGTATGCGGTGCCTTCTGTAGCTTTGTGGCGAAGGCACCCATGCATGATAATCTTCTTGATTGCGGCGATTTGATTTGATGATTGCGACCCGTAAAAGAGCAGCTAGGAAGAGCGGATTTCGTCTGTTGATATTTGTCATGTGTTGCCTGTGTGTCTGTGGGCGTGTGTGTATGTGTGTATGTGTGTACTACACACGAACCATTTGTGGAGTTCGTAAGTCGCGTGCCTTGCTTTCGTGTATTGACCTTTGCTTTTGAGCCTTGTGATTGTTGGCAGCCGCCCGTTGCCGCCGCAGCGGCAGCTTTATGGCAGCGACTAGTGTTAACAGATTTTCGCTTTCAGCGTTGGCTCAATATGTGCGCTAGGAAAAAGTAATAAGTTTAATGAATAGTTACAGCACGTACGTGCGTGCGAGTTGCAAATTAGGATTCTGGGAGGTTGGAAATTTTAGAGACCGGTGTGCTGTGGTGGATGTCAGGCAATTAGCAGTTGAGTGGTTAGTCACAATTAATCCGATATCCGTAGTCCCTAACTCCAATTTCTTTGTAAAATGAGTGAACCGCACAGGAAAGGGAGTTTGCGTTTCTTTTGTTTGTGCCAAAGGAGGAAATTGCGATGAGCGCTATCCCGAGGGGCTTCGGGACGTGTCCTGGTTGGCGGCCTCCACGCAGTGCCGCCCTAAGAAACGATGTCGCTTCTGTTTGCAATGCTTGAAAGGCGATGTTGTACTGTGTCCGCTCTGTACGCGACGGACGTGTGGCGTCCGTCCGTCCCCCGTCCCCTTCTGAGGAGTGCGTATTTGGCGCCTAGCAGCAGATGGAACCCTGACCAGTCAGTCTGCAAGTGACGACCTGGCGGCTGCAAGCCTCCGTCGGGTCGCGCTCTGTAAGTCGACAACGCAATTTTGCTCTGCTTGTAAAGCCCGATATGAGCGCTCGCATAACCTGACGGCCAGCCGTTAGACGGAGGATCCTGTGACTGTACAAGTGACTATGCAGGAATTGGAGCAAAAGGATTTGCTAAAGGTGCAGAGCCGAAGGTGGCGTTGAGATAGCTGCCGGTGTTTGACTCGTGTTGACTGCTGCTACGGAATGACGCAGAGGGCCAGAGTCAGAAACCTAGTCGAGCTCTGCTTTTCAGCATTGTTACCGAAAAGGTGCGACAGCATGGCAGTGGACAGCACAAATGCTTGGGGTTCGAATTAAGTGCGAAGTTACTTCAAGGAGCGAGCATAAAAGAAACCGGCCAAAAAAATATATCACTCTTACAAGCTCCCTGGTGCTATATTGACAAGTGCGTCAAGGCCCCGATAGGACTCCGGGCGGCAAAACCCGCTGAAAGGAAGCCAAGGGATTTCAATCTAAAGGCATCCCAAAATTCATCAAGACGCTGTAACAACAGGTGTTTGCACGGACAGTTGCTCAGGAAAAGCGCACTCTCAACTGTCATCCGCATTATTACAAGGAAACTGCGGCAAATGTAACCACATGATAGACAGCCGTCCTTTTTAATTGGCGTTCTCAAGTATTAGCATAGGTTTTGCCTTTTTACGCCGGAATCAGGGTATTTTTTGGCGTACATCCTGATTGTTCTCTTGACCCGCACACTTACTTTGCCCAATTCAAACTTCGGCACTTACTTCAAGTAGTGACAAACATTTTCTCTATTCGTTGATTCCCCACAACTACCTTTTGGGAGGACCTTCTACGAAGATACCGCCGAAAATATCTAAAGCCGAAGGCCGTAGAAACAGCGGATGGGATCTGCGGCTGACCTCGTCTTTGACTTTGAGGTGTGTTGCTTTGCTAGCTAAAGGCCAAGGCGCATGAAGCGGCGCGCAACGATAGTAGCCTCCAGAGGCTGAGGAGCGCTTTTCGCCGTCCTTTTACTGTCCCGTTGTAGGAGGCGAACCAAACCACCAACCAAGTCGCAGATACGTTCCAATCACGGAAAGTTGCACTTGAGGCCCTGGTGCGGAGAATTGAGCTTGCAGCGCGACAATCTTCAGAGCTGGCGCGGCAGGTATGGCCAGGGACGAGTTCTTTTGTGGTGTGTTTCCATGAAACCTGGTGTCACCTATTCCTGTCATACTTGAACAGACAAGCAGCCACGATATTATGCCGAGCGGCGGGTTGTTCGGCAACGAGACCTGTGCCGACGTCCGCGTTTGGTGCAAGCGCATACTCTTCGAAGAGCGGGAATAATTCATGCGAACAAGCTGTATTCACTGACCTTTCAAGCGTCTGAAATGGCTTAGGTAGTGCAAAATATCTTTCAACCGTCGCTTCGTTCCCCTGCGCAGGTTTACCAGGATGTTACAACGCTGCTCAGCCGTGCCAACACCAACGTCAAATCGCCAGGAACTTTATACAGCCTTGCGTCCGCCTTGGCTGGTCTCGGCTACGATGTTTGTATAAGAAACGCTCTCAGCGGAGGCAGCGAATGTTTCAAGTAAGCACCCGTCGTTTTACGGTTACGCAAGTTACTCGCTGAAACGTGATAGGGAATGCACAGGATAACGACAAAATCTGATTTACTGTGACATCTCCACGAGAAGGAACCATAAAGTGGCTAGGAATTGTTACGATGTAAACCCTTTCCTCGGCCTGCGCATAACCCTCGGCCTGCAGGTCCCTCCGCCATGCTTTCATCCTGGTTCGCGGCACCGGCGAATTCCGCGGCATGGAATTCATCGTGGAGCCCTCCCTGCGGCAGCACTTCTCCATCCCTCACCCCTCACCCGAATACGACTACGTGTTGAGCCGTACACCCGACGTGTTCGTGGGGGGTAGCTGCCGTCTGGTGCCGGTGGTGCAGCTGCTGTGTGCGCTCATGGCCTACTCCTTCCAGCGACAGGGCCTGCCCTTGCCGCCGTGGCGCAAGGAAACGGCAATGATGAGCAAGTGGATGCCCCACCCAGCGCGCATCCGTGACCTCAGACCACGACTCGGTTGCACCAGTTTTCTAGCGATCCACACGCTGCCGTCAGGTGCATCACCGCAGCTGCAGCACGGCATTTCGCCGCAGTCGCCGTCGCCGTCACCTCTTCAGGAACACCTATCCCTCGGCTCCGAATCACTCCGCCATGACGCAGTCCAGGCAGCATCCGTCCCCGGTCCATTTGCCGCCGTTGCGCCCAGCCCGATGGTGGGTGCAATCCCACCACCTTCCGAACTTACATGGACCTTGTGTGCTCCGGGTGCCCTAGGAGGGGACGCAGCCGGTGCCGCCGCTCCCCGCTGCCCCCTGACCTCCGTGCTGGGTTTTGACGTCTGCCAGGAGGGGGCCCCGCCGACAGCGCCGATGTCCTGCAGGGGTGAAGGGGAGATCACCGGCGCTCGCGGCCCGGATCAGATCCTCGGGGCGTACGGCAATGGGGCAGGTCAGTGGGAAGAGATGGGGGAGATGATTCCATCTTTCCTCCATACTCGCCGCCGCCGCCGCCGCAGCAGCAGCAGCGGCTGCAGCAACAGCAGGGTCGGCGGGGTCGGCAACCCCGTGTCGCTGCCGAACACCGACCCGGGCGAGACAGTGGACAAACTGGACGAGTGCTCGTCGCCGTGCGCGGGGCCCTTCTCCCCCGCGGAGGATACCGGCAGCTTCTTCTTCACCTCCGAAGCCAGCTGCACCAACTCTCCCGTACATGTGTACGACATGCTTAGCCTGGTGGGCTCGCTTTCCTACGGCTCTGACGCGTCTGCGGACGCCGTCCTCAATGCCGGCGGGGCCAGGGCCGGCTCCCCCTCTTCTTTCCGCCGCAACGGAGGGCACCACCGACCCACAGCCACGGGCATGTTGCCCTGTCCGTACCCTCGTACGGGCTTGCTGTCCGCCAGGATGATGTTCGAGTCGCTGGCGGCGCGGACCGCTACGCCGCTGCCGAAGCCGCCAGCAGCGGCGGCGACGGCGGCGACGGCGACGGCCACGTTGCTCATCGACGCGTCCGACTGCGATGCATCCTCCGATAACCCTTGGGTACTTCGGCCTCCCGTAGCTGAGGCAGGTGACGAGGAAAGGTGTGGCTACAGCCAGCAAACACAGCAGCTGGCGCAACCCGGCAGTGCGCCGACCAATAACCTTTTTGACCAGGCAGCGGCGGCGGCGGCGGCGACGGCGGCGACTGAGTCACTCCAAACGGTCGCGGCGGGTGGCGTGCAGGTGAACGACGGCGGCGCCGTCATCGACAGGTCGCCAACGGCAGCTGCAGCTCCTGCTCGGCTTTCGCAGCGATCACGCGGTTCATCTGAGTGGCTGCCTTGGGGTTTGCCCGCCCACAAACGGTGCATTGCCTAACGGTCTGTTGTTCAATGTCGCGGAAGTAAAGGCTACTACTGCCTGGGGAATGGCTACTGCTGCTACTGCGGCCCCTCCATATTCCACGCGATAGCTGATCCTGCTGCGTCGCGAGTGATCTTATTACCACCACAACCATCTGTGTGTGAGAGGTTGCTGCGGCATCTGCTCTATTGCGCTGGGTGCTGCATTGCGCTCCCTGTTGGTCGCGGCTGTGGCGGCCAAGCACGTGTGTAGTATCACCATGTTTACGTGCGCATTCTTGTTGCCTGTACATGCATGTGTGTCGTTGGCTGCTGCGTGCGCGCTTGCATGGCGGAGCACGGTAGCGAGGAGGGCGCGATCTTTTTCGGGCAGGAGCAGAGAGAGAGGGGGGAGTCCTGAGAGGCGTGGGAAAGCTGGCAGAGAAGCAGAGAACGTGGAGATGAAGAACGCGACACAAGTGCGTGATGAAGGAAGCTGGCAGCGCCCGGGGACGCAGCTGGCGTTCCGGGCTCCGCGCATATATATAACCTTCCCTTTCGTTTGCATGTCCGCGTTATGAAGCGCGCGCGTACGTGAGGGGTGTGTGTGGCGGGCCCGGGTCATTTTGGCGAAGACCCATGTGGCTTTTTGATTTATTTGCGCGGTGAGGAGGCAGGAAGGTTCGCGAGCTGCGTGCGCTACGCCCGAGCGTTTAAAAATTGCAGCATGATCGATGGCGCGCGAGACAGAGAGAATTGAAAATTTTAAAAGTTTAAGTTTAATATACTTATATGAAAAGGGGGCGAAGAGAGACCATAATGCACCGGCGTTTTGAAGGCGTATGCCAGCTGGTTCGTGTGGTAAAGCCTTTTGCTAATTTATCTTTGGCCAAAACATAAAAAATATATATGTGTGTCTATGTGAAGATATCACGCGTGGGTGTGTCCCCTCAAGTGGCGTTGTACGGCTTAATGTACGGCAAGGTACGTGCCCCGAAAAGGCTGATGCACTTTGCAGAGAGGAGAGCGAGGCACATGTGGAGTACAGCGACGTCCATTTTTCCCACTTCCATCTTATTGTTTTTGCTGATGGCGGTAACGGGCGGCATTAGTGACGGCCTGCCAAGTAACGGTGCTGGCGGAGGGACTTGCATGCGACGAGTACATGCTGTGCCGTCGTATTTGTATGACAGGAATGTGTTTGATGACGTTTGATGGCAATGCGCTGGGAAATTGTCCCATTGGGTTATTGCGTGATGTCTCTCCCGTCGTATTCCTCGCAGTACAAGCAGTTCTAGCTCAGAGTGCAAGAGCGTTTCAATGTGCGCAGGGTCGAGGGCGAGAGGGTGTATGCGCAATAACGGCGGCGAAGAGGGAAGGAGGAGCGGAATGTGAGTGTCAATCCTCAAGAGCTCACGATGTGTCCGTCACGGCGTGCGATGATTTTAGTGCCATGATGAAATGGCCTTTAACCTAGTACCGCCCTGAAGTAGACCTTGCGGCCCTTCAATTAATAAACGACAAAATTAGCTGTTTTTTTAACTCTATTTTTAAAAGAAAATCGGACAGCATAGAACGTGCTTTTTTGCGGCTTTTGTTGTACGACACGCCTGTGTGTAGTCGTGTAGTTGTGTAGCCGGCCGATGTCGATTTGCGTAGTAGCCTGCCTGTGCGCTACAGGTGGGTCTGCGGGTTTGTCCCTGGGGGGGTTTACTTATCTCCCTTGGGCTTCGTGGAGCTCAACAACAACCTTCCACCGTTGATCCTGGCGCTGTCCGAGGCCGCTTCCCGGGCGGCTGCTTGCGGGTGGGAATATGCGCGCGCGGCTATGCGTGTGTGCGCTGCGCACGTATAGCTGCGCGAAATAATCATCATACTGCCATAGTACTCAGTCCTTTTGCTGTACATGTGCCGCCCATGTGCGGTTGCCGATATTCGAAGGGGTGTGTGCGCACGCAGACAAGAGACACAGACACACATATATACTCATATAACTCATATATATATATATACTCATATAATTCACCTCTTCAAACTATGACTTACCCAACGCGTCTAGAAGGAAATTTATATAACTCTTTCCGTATGCTCAGATACTTGTGGTAGCGTGCGTGCGTGCGTGTGTGTGTGTGTGTGTGTAGGGGGCGGGCTGCCCACCTTCTGCCGCCGTCCTCTGTCCTCGAGCGGTGGATGGTCGTGGTGGCGGCGGTGGTTATGATGCAGCTGGACAAAATAGTTTTCTCGAGCGAGGCTGATGCCATATGGCCCTAGGGGATGCATGCCGCGTGAAGGAGGTGTGGTTATTGCTAGGTGCGTTTTTGTGTTCCTTGAATGGTTTGGGTGCAGTACGCGGTGCGGGTCGCGTGTGAAGGGCGCAGCGGTACCGGCTCAGAGGAGAGAGGTTTTCAGGTTTGGTTGAATGCCCGTTTGCCTCGTTTTCCCCGAACCCCCCTACCCCCTCAGCTAGACGGAGCCGCCGCAACTCTATTGCGTCCTCCAAGCAAGGGCGGTGGTGTCCTCTGGTGAATCCCGACGGACATCCTCCCCCCGCTGCTTCTTAGCATCATAGTCACCCGCTAAGCATGTCCCCCCCCCCAAATGCATGCCGTACACAATAACGCCCTTTCACCCTTCCATTCTGGCCATGTTCGCGGCGCGACACATGCACACGCTTGCAATCCCAGGAGCGCATGCCGGCGCACGCACAAACCCTTTCCGGCTGCCGGCCCCTCCGTCCTTTTCCCCCCGGGGGGGCGAAACCCGACCGCGTGTCTCAACCCTGAAGCCCTTGGCCCATTCGCATGTTGCGGAAGGGCGGGAAGGGGTTGGACGCAAAAGGGGTCGTGGTCGAAAGAGGGTTCCTTTTTTTCCCAACCCCTATTATCATGTGGGTTTTGTTCCCCGCCCTCGACTTTTTGCCGCGGACTCGCCCAGTTCGCGCCCCCCTCGGCAACCGCGTGGGAAGAGACTTGACTTCACTTAGTCGCGTCCGCGGTAGCTGTGCAGGCCGCGATGATAGTTGAGAGGAGGTGATGATGAAGACCCAGGAAATGGTGACAATATTGGTGAAATGGCATGTCGCCATCGCAACGGGGGGGCCAGCTGATCAGATCACCAGGCGATGGCGAGTCAGGGGGCTTGTGGGGTCTGGTGCAGACTGGAATTTGCGAGACTTGGACGTTTCGGTTTCGGCTGCTGCTGAAGTACGAGACTGCTCAACTGTTGTCAGTTTCCTTGGCTTATGAAGGCGGTGTCTGTGTCTGTGTGCACGGTTATTGGCGTTTGTAACAAGAGGAGGGCAGTACCGCGAATCGGTTGGTAAGTTGTAACGGTTAGGTTGGTTGAGCGTGTACCTTGTTAGCCTCTTGCTTAGGGGTATCTCACTGTATGGAAAGAGAAACAGTGATGCAGGTATTGTCGTTTCGCGTTTTTGTGTACGACACCGTGAATTCTTTTCAGTGGACCCGTACAGCCCCATATTCCCCGATGTACGGGCAAGTCACTTCGCCAGCTCAATTTCGTCGTATGGATGTGCTTTGCAATGTATGTGTGTATGTATGGTTATTGTGGAAGGGGCATTATGTTCTTATCTTTGTGTGTGTGCGTAGAGAGGGAGGAAGGGAAGGGGGAAGGGGAGCATGGTAATGTAGTGCAGTTCCGAGCTATACGGGCATGGGGCTAAAATCTTCTGTATGTTTGTTTGTTTGTTTGTTTCAGACAAACAGATTCAAATTGTAGATCAGGAGAGATCTTTTCGTAGCACGAACTGTTGCGTGCTGTGAGCCACGTTTTTTTACTAATGTGCCCCGTCGTCGAAAACAATCTTTCGTTTGTTTTGCGCCAAAGTTTTGTGAGTTTTTGTGTGCACCCACGTTTGCTGTTGGGCTATTTCGGCCCTAAGGCCCCTACGGTGTTGCCATGTGCATGCGCTTCCCCTTTACGGAACTGCATGTGATAAATATGGCAGTGAATTTGCTTTTTGCTGTCTTCACCGCCTGGCCGGTTGGTTGACTACCTGTCCGTGTGCCTGCCTGCCTTGTCGTGTATATGTATGTACGTATGTATGTTTGCCCGCTCGGCACGTTTCTTAATTCGTGGGTTTGTCGGTCGTTGAATGAGCATACGCGTGTACGTATGTATGTATGTCACATTGCGGTTGATACAGCCCCAGCAAATTGTTTATATGTCAGCTTGTCGAGTCACGAACAAGAACTTGCAGCATGCCTGTATTTGCGACGAATACACAACCTCCCTTCCCCTCCCCTTCCCGTCGCGCGCACGACACATGTCCATGTGGCTTGCCGTACGGTGCAGTTCAACGATTACGTATACATAGTCGAGTCGCACGCCCTCAGCAATGTGGGATTTCAGAGGCATGCAGACGCTGTTCGTTCATTAAGTTGCTGCTGGTGTATTGCTACCCACGCCCGGGCATGCACGTGTGCGTGTGTGTATGCGTATGTGTGTGTGTGTGTGTGTGACGGGCGGGAGGTTCAGGCCTGGGGATTTGCCCGCTGAAACCCCGCCTCGCGCATCTCGCAACACACCATTTCCTAGGCGGCGGTGAGGTGCAGGCAACATGGCTGCCTGAACAGAAGGACAAAACACGCATCGCACAGGGCACAACCGAAAAACACCTCTCCCCACCTCAGGTTGGGCTTGGTGGCGGCATGTCTTGTTTTAAAGTGCTTCGTGTTTAGGCCGTTTGTGAAGTTTTATAGATTTAATTGTGTCATGGTTTAGAGCTTCTGAATGAAATATCTATTTAGAGTTAACGTTATGTAATGATGGTGGTGGTGGCAGTGGTGGTGATGAGGTCGGTGGGGTAGCACATAGTTAGGCAACGTCATCTATTAAACCCAGAAAAGGGGGGGAATAATTTGTTTCCAATAAGTGCATTTTCGCACAGCAAAAAAGTGCGAAAATGCACAGCAAAACGGCGGTCAGGCGCCTCCTTCGCGGGCCCATGGGTGCATTGGTCGCATCACCATCCAGCAGCTGACATCAATTGATCAGACCTTTCCGTCTTCTGCTGCGGAGGGGTGTGTGTGTGTGTGCATGCGTATATAGTGAGCTATCAGTCCGCTGACCTTCTGTGCATAGTTGATGAGGTTTTTGGCAAACACGGGGTTGTAAAGCGTTGTCTCATTCTCGCGAATCTGCAACCCCCAGTAGCTCCGTTCGCCCCCTGTTTCACGGCTTCCGCATTGCCCTTCTCGCTCTTCCTCCTCTCCTGCCTCCTCCTCTGCCGCCTTCTTATTTGGGCGAGGCCCCAGCCTTCAAGCCCCGTCCTGTTCACTTCCCGTCCGGGCCCCACGTGGCGCATACGTATATACATACGTATATACATCCGCGCATGTCTACGCACCTTGTATCGACCATAATTGGCGTGCATAAGTACAGACGTACATACGAGCAAGCAGACATGCAGTTATGCATCAGACAAATCAGATCAGCAGCAGCAGCAGTGCAGCCACACGGCCGCGATGAGGCGTGATGGAGCTACCACAGTGTCAGTCGCCTGAGGGGCCGTTGCCGCGTCCATCCACAAGTGGAGCAATAGATGTGACTGATGAATAGGATACGCACTATACAGCAGTTGCGCACGTTGATGAGACCGAATTTCAGGAGGGACTCGTCAAACTTGCTTTTGCCTCCCGCTGCCGTCGTGCCCCATGGATGGCAGATAGAGGACGGATGAAATGAAAGTCGGGCATGAGGCCAGGTGTGACGGGTGGAGATGCCGTTTACACGCACGCACGCACACACCCCTGCCGTACGGACGCCAGGGGCCCTCAGCTATGGCCTGAACTCGTCCCAAAGCACGTCGATCATAAAACCAGATCGTCTCGGGCCGCCGAATAAGCTTGCTAGCCCGTCCTAGGGCTCAACGAACGCCTCCCGGTACTCTGCGTTTTATTTTCAGCTTCTTTAATTTATTCAACAAGTTTTAACAAAGCTTCTGATGGTCTTCAATTAATGAACCACTGTACGGGTAAGCTGTAACTCCGACGCAGCTGCAAGTGCGCGCGATGAAGTGCGCGCGATTCTGCATTCAACAGGGTTCAATCTGTAACGCTAAGCTGCGAGAAAAATAAGCTGGTCATTCAGCGAGAATATTAATAATATGGATGGCGCTATTCACGTGTCCATCTGGCCAATGTGAAACCAACGGCTGTTAAGGCAATCCGCACCAGACCGGTCGCCTCCTGAGCATCTGTGCTTATGGAATGATCTGGCACATGCAGCACGTTAATTGTCTGGCGAGAGATAGCTTGAAAGTGTCCGTTTAGTAATGGAGAGGGAACTTAGTAACGTAATGAAATTACAGTACCGGTATGTACTGTGAGTAACCTAGGGCGCAAGGACGACTTTGGTAACCCATGGCGCTTGTCATGAACCACCTAAACGTGGAATTGATAGGATGCAAGCACGTTTTTCATGGCTTGGGTCCCTCACCCCTGCTTCGAACATCCTCGACTTGACATGGACCACCTGTTGAACGAGCCAAACAGAAACTGGCGTTTTCAGCTACAAATGCAGAGGGCAAAACTATCAGATGAAATTGGGCCGAATATTTTCGCATCCCGACTGGCCACACAGGGCCACACAATGTCCCGAAAGAACAAGGCCCAGCTTATGCACAATGTACTTGGCGGGCTTTAAATGGCAGGCGTTAATGGCCCTGAGAGCTGCCATGTGGCGTTTTTAAGCAGCCCCTCGCACAAATGTGAGCGGTCGTACTCTGCCGAATAAACGGTTCGTACATCGTCCAAAAAAGCCAGGAGCGAATTTTGCCGCGCGGATGCGCGCGTGCGATTCGCAAAATGCGCCTGTATAAGTGTATATAAATTTTCGTGGAGAAAGGACGAGGTGCGCCAGCGCGTTGCGCAGGTGGGCATGTTGGCCACAGCCGCACGCGGCATGCAGGCTGGACTATTGCGTGGCTGCATTGCAGTAACTGAAAGCACCGAAAGCCTACGTCGTAGCTTGCAAGACTGGGCTCGTGAAACTGCCGCGGGAAGAGGAAGCGTCTGACGAAGAGGCAGTTGTGTGCAAGCAAACGGTCGCGTTTTTGGTAGTGCAACGTATACAGCACCTTGTTCAGAGTAAAGTCAAATTACAAAGTTGCGCAAAGTATAACATACATAAACTTAATTAAGCATAAGAACAGATAAGACGTTTAGAGCCTTGTCGGTGACATGGACGCCGTTGTTGGTTTGGAACAGCTATTTGCTGTGCATAGGGACTTGCCCGCGTTAGCCGTGTTGCAACAGCTCAGGATGGATTTCAGCCAGCAACAGCCTCAAGAGCTGCTGCACAACCACCGGGAATGTCTTCAGTTGGGCACGTGTAGTTTTGGTCGGCGGGGTCGAGCATCGTACGCATTGCGCACAGAAACCAAGGTGCAGCGTCTCTGTAACATCGCCAACATATCCGGTACGCGGTGGCAGGCTTGCCGAGCACGAAATGAAGGGGGGGTCGCATCTCACCACTCAACTAAGCATGCATGTGCTCGGTTGAATGCTCGGTAGCGTGCGAGTTTACCCCTATCAGGATGTTTGTTTGCATATCCCTCCAAGCGAGAGGGCTTGGTCCAAGCGAGAGGGCTTGGACCTATGCTGATGTTCGTTCCAAGAAGTGAACTGAGGACTGATGCTACGGTGAAAGGTATGCACGTAAATTCGCCCGTGCGCCAAACGCCCTGTAACTCGCTTACGCTAATCTCACATTCCAATATGCCACTGCACTTTCTTCTCCAGCCTGGCCACATTCTCTTCCTCGCAAACGTACTTGGGCACCTTACAATCCAACACCATACGTGCTTTGGAAACGCGGGCAGCTGCTTCACAAGGACCCCCCTATTTTAGATTTCTTGCTTGTAATGTCCTGGCCTATCCGCGCCCACCCGTTCCGCAGGGTGAGCAGCCGATCTGAGAGTATTTGAAACACGTTTAGATACTGTGTAATCCAGTTTATGTAACCGGATAACATGGAAAATGATCAAAACATTGCAACTGGTTTAACAGTTACTGAGCCGCCAAATGAACGTTGTATGGACTTTACGCATTGACGGCGATGCATTTACGCCGAATGGTTTCCTCTGACAATTTTATATTCCCAAATGTACCAAAAGGGAGTCTGTTCTGATGACACTAAATGGGGCTCCAAAACGATGGCGCAATGTCCCATGCTTGTATGGTCGCAACAGAGGCTCAGTCGAGCACACAACCTACGTGACTTAATGCATAGTCCTTCTGATTTAAAGATACCTGCAGGATTTCGCGCCGGGAAGGACCGCGCACCCTATTGTAGTAAACGCACTCAATGGCGCAGCCCTTATACAGCTAACTCTGCGTGTTGCTATCTCGCATACATATCTCCGCTTCCTAGGTATTTTCGTGGTAAAACGGCCCGAGCATGCGCCAGGTGTCCAGAATCTCAACAATCAGGACGGGTTGCAGGATGGACAGAAAGCGTTCAGCAATGCCCCTTACGAATTGAACACCGCCCCGTTGGGAGGGGACGATGAGGTTGCGGGTATTTCAGGACCGACAAGGGGAACGGTTGTTACCTGAGCGCGCGAGAGGGTCGGGAGGAGAGGTTCATCGCCTGGGGAACGACGGTGGCCCTTGTCCGCCGGAGGAGTCACATTCCGGGAAGGGCTTCACAGGCTATAGAGTGTGAAATGACATGGGATCTAGATTCCTCAGGAAAGACGAAGGTAACCGCGAACGAGGGCTCGGGATTCCCCCAAAACGCTCGCCCGCGCCCAAACGTGCGCACCAGAGCGGTAACGGCCGTTCCCCCTTGTCGGTCCTGAAATACCCGCAACCTCATCGTCCCCTCTCAACGGGGCGGTGTTCAATTCGCAAGGGGCAGTGCTGAACGGCCTGTGTGCATCCTGCAACCCGTCCTGATGTCGAGATGCTGGACACGTGGCGCGTGCTCGGGCCATCGCTCCATCGCTTTTTGAAGGTATTATGTTTGAGGACCGGAAAAGCTCTTATCGTTGTTTCCCCGGCCACATCCGTTTCGCTGTCGGGGTCGGGCGCAGGATTCATGATGACATGTGCGGAGCCAGTAGTAAACAGCGCGAGCATCCTAGTGACAAGCGCCACCGTTTTCTTGCGCGATGCAGCATCCAGAAGCCATCCTTTGCGGCTTCTATGCTCAGATACACCTTGGTGCGTCAAAGTACCATGCGCTGACGTGTCCGGTTGTCAAAGCATCCTCGAGTTTTGTTGCCTATGAACGTAATTGTAAAAGGGTATTACCCACCAACTTCAATCAATAATTGGGCCACTTAAAAGCAGCTTAGTAAGATACATCAAAACAATAGTAGCAAAGCCGGGCGATGTGCATAACTGTAAACGCATGGGGAAGTCGCGCTTCCAGTGCTAAACTGATCTCATTGTATGTTCCAAATCCATGTCGGAGACAGTTGGGCGGGCCCATCTGACGCGGCAGGTGGGCGCGCACAACTATGAAACGCCAAGTGGCGGGCGTCGCGACGTGACTGAGACTTCTGGTCCTACTAGATAGATCCATTTTGAAAATTTGCATTATCACTTATTCTTAATACATTCATGTAAGATAACCGGAAGGAACGTTGACCGGCATTTGAAGGTGGAGCCCTGCTGGTCAAAGCTTGGAGCTACAGGAAGCAGCTCACAAATTTCGGAATAATTTTTAATCATTTATCCTATGAGTCTCAAAGTACTTGCTTACTTCTCTTGAGGAGCGATTTTGTCGCTATTTGTACGGATCGCCTTCTTACGGCGGTGTCCCACACGCCGCATTGGACATACAAATTCCAGTGACGCAACTTAGCCTTTATCCACGTTTGACATAGATGCATGTGGACAGCAACTTAAAAACAATGGACGACGAATATTTTATGTTTGCCGACGGTTACAACGAGCAACTTGATAGCGCCGCCGCAAGTGCCAATGTGCGTCACCAGTGGCTTTCACCTGCGTCTCACGCGTGGAAACGTTCGACATGTTGATACTCCGGGGTTGTGCACTGCTCCTTCTCTCCCGGGGCCCAGTTCGCTGGGGCTCATGTTGATGGCAATCGTCCCCACGTGCAGGCACTTTCCCCTGAAAAGTTATCAGTCCTTGGAAGGATCTGCGAGAGATTGCATCATTTGGTATCACCTGTCAACGATTATGGCCTCGAGGTGCGCGGGTTTAGGGCCATTGCTGTTGCTCTGCCGCCGGCATCACCCTCAGGCCCCCCACTGCCATTGCTCATAATATTTCATTTAAGCAGCTATTAAAGATCTTAATTGCATGAGTTCTTTGGAGATTTCGGCGCATACCTGTAACCGATGTCTCGATGGCCGCAGATACTGGAGGCGGCGAGCAAAGCTATTCAACAGCACGGCTCAGAAACCCATTCCCTGGCCGCTGCAATGGTAAAATCTGGATTTGAGGCGACGATTCGGAGCGCCCGATCTGAAACATCCCGCGGGGAGCAGGTGTCAATGTAAGGCTGGGCAACGGGTCGCGATCCGCCAACCCTTTCCTGGAGGCCAGCCTCCTCGTTGTCCTTAGTTAATTAATTGATTATGAGTTGCATAGCCATAAATAATTGCTAAGTATCAAACTTGGATCTGCATAGTGAAGTTTTCGTCTCACCTTGATCCGTAAGCGATTTACACGTCATGGCAGCAGAACCCTTAAATCGCAACGCCCACTAACGCTTTAGCTTGCAGATGCCCGTGACTCGGCATGTAAACAAAATAAATTACCGTTATAATGATCAACGATAATGGAAAGGTTGGCGTGGCGAGGATCTGCGGCAAGGACTGGACGTGGTTGTCGCCAGTACTATTATAGTGTCTGTGTGTGTGTCTGTGTGTGTGCGCGATTGTTACAGGTTGTTATTAATAATAGGTATTGCAGCGAGCCCAAGATCCCAAGTGAATACCAAAGGGTTGAACCATCGAGCCATAACGGACCGCCGTGCACTGCACAAGTATTGGTCTTGCGTTGACGCGTTAAAGCATACTGTCCTTTCCTGTATCATGCATCCTGCATCCAAACAGGTCCCTCCGCCATGCTTTCATCCTGGTTCGCGGCACCGGCGAATTCCGCGGCATGGAATTCATCGTGGAGCCCTCCCTGCGGCAGCACTTCTCCATCCCGCACCCCTCACCCGAGTACGACTACGTGTTGAGCCGTACACCCGACGTGTTCGTGGGGGGTAGCTGCCGTCTGGTGCCGGTGGTGCAGCTGCTGTGTGCGCTCATGGCCGACTCCTTCCAGCGACAGGGCCTGCCCTTGCCACCCTGGCGCACGGAAACGGCAATGATGAGCAAGTGGATGCCCCAGCCACACCTCAGCTCCGAATGCCCCGCGGCCCGTGGGTCTTCGCCATCGTCCCGATTCGTGGCTGCTGCCGCTGCTGCTACCGCCGCGGCAGCAGCAGTGCCGCCGCCGGCCTACACGGACATTAGTCCCATATCCCGCTTCTCCGCTGGCTTGGCTACTGCCAGTGTAGTCGGACCGCAGGAGCAGTTGCTACTGCTGCTCCAACGCACGAACAGAGGCAGTAGCGGCGGCTGGAGCAGCAGTAGCAGTAGCCAATGCGGCCTGCTTAGCGATGTTGGCTGTAGCCACAGCCGCACAAACAGCAACACTAGCAACAGTAGCAACGGCGGCAACAGCACGAATGACCGCAGCCGCAGTGGCGGCAGCAGCAGCAGTAGCAGTAGCTCCCCGCTTTTCGACCTTCACAGTCTGTCGGGCAGTTTTGACGACCCTAACTCAACCGCAATACGGAGCTGCGTCAAGGGTTGCCCGGTGACGCCTGAGATCCACAGGAACCTCTGGGAACGCAAGCTTGCCGGTTGTGGCCGCGGTCGCGGCCCCGGCTTTTCAAGGCTGCCGATCGCCGCCGCCGCCGGCGGCACCGCCACCGCGCCGCTCAACATCGGTCGCGCCGTCGCCGTCGAAGGCTCCTTCGTCGCCAGGGGGTTTAACTCCGGCTTCGGAGAAAAGTCCGATGCACGAACAGATGTCGTACGAGAGGCACTTGCCGGTCCGGCCGCCGGTGGTCGGCTTTTAGCAGGCAAGCTGCATGATGCTCGCTCGGCGGACGTCGGGTCCGGCTGTCGTACATGGACTGATGCCCGGATGAGTGGATACTACGTACGAGACACCGGCGCCAATGCGGCCAACGTCGCTGCCAATGCCGCGGTCGTCAAGACTGCCGCCACCGCTGCAGCCGCAGCCCGGTCTGAGCCAAGGACCCGATTGCGCAACGTTTCGCTCCTGACTACTCAATTAACGAAAGCTCCAGGGCATCAGCTGTCGGCGGTGGCTGAGGTGAATACTTAGCAAACTGCGCGCGCCAGGGAACGCGCATGCAGCCTGTGACGAGGGGTGGCTATCTTAGCAATTTGGAACGACATCTCGGGTCAATGATAGCCGGCTGGGACCGAAAGGAGTGCAGGGGCGGACGGCCCATCACTTGGTTTTAACACTCATGGGGATTCGTGCGTTTCAATTAAACGTTTTAAGCAGCGAGAAGTAGAGGTTTGAAGTCGTGTCATTGTACAGACGCGTAGTCGTACAGACGCGTAGTCGTACAGACGCGTGTGTGCATAGGAAAGGATTGCTTGGTGACCGATGAAAGCTATCGGTTAATTCCCAGATGAAAATCATGCCGCTCCTGGGTAAGGTAGTTGCTGTTCTTGGTTTGTGTGAGTTCGTTGGGAGATGGGCATCGGGGTCTTTTTATCTCGCTCCACCCGTAGAGCCGCTTTCGTCCTTGCTGTTTTTGTTTTCTGTCTTTTTCGCTGTGATATGGAAAAAAGCTTTTCGTTTGCATAGACTGTTTTTACGTTTATTAGTTGCGTCGCAGTTTTGCTGGGCGCCTACTGGGCCATACTCCTGCATTACCTGGTATACTGTTTATGTCGTGCATTGGAGAGATGAACTTTCGTAGATTGCACAAAAATCTACTTTATGAAAACAACTAAAAAATGTGAAGGCGTTTGGACGCCGGAGATAGAATAAGATAAGATGTAGGAAGGAGGCAGCAGAGAAAGAGAGAAAGAGAAAAAATATTCAAAGTTACAACAGAAACACAGAAAGGTTGTTGTCTGCTGCATGCATGTCGTCCCATACATGCCCCGAACAGTTTTTTGATGTACGACTCGACCTCTGACGATCATGTTTAGCTTGGCTGCTGGTGGGCCCGTGGACCGGGCCGCCGATGTGTGGCTGCTGCAGAGGCGGTCGCAACGGGAGACGAAGGGGATATTGGGCATCTCGTAGTCCGGAGCTATGTGTGGTGTGTGGTTGCTACAGTGGGCTCCAGCTATGTGTAGATGTTAGGTGCTATCTTTTGTAGGTCCCAGGCCTTATTAAGCGACAGATCTCACCAGATAGTGTGTTTCCTTTCTTTCATGCAAAGTTTTTCATGTTCTTGGTAGTTATCGGTCCTGTTAGGGTTGGATTCAACAGGGCAGCCGCGCGCGTGCGCGGCCGCACGGCGACATACTGTGGTGGTCGTGGTCATGTGGTCCCGCCGATAGCAGTGATGATGGTTGTCGAAGGCGATGGTTTTGGAGTAAGCTTCGCTGCTGCTGCTGGTGAGAGTGGTCGTGGTATTTGTGAGAGTAATGGCTGATGGGGGAAGTGGTCGCGGTTGCGGTGATGGATGGGCGGATGTTGCTGCTGCCAATGTTATGCCAATGAAATGGTGGTAATGATGGTGATGATGACGGTAATGGTGATGATAATGATGGTGATGATGATGTTAATGGTGATGA